ATTCGAAAAAGCAGATTTTAACGTACTATTTAATTGATTCTTATAGGATTCCAATAAATACCGGGCGTACAGTAGTAATTTGTATGGGAAGAGTGGAAAATGTTGGTGGGGTGAAAATGCGGGGTCGGTCCAATACTTTTGACCTAGTACTGTACTCTATTTTGACCAGATATCGAAACCTCACTGACGTCTAAACAGGATCTTTGATGACATCCGATATCTCAATTACAAATATCTATCAAGCCAAAGAGGCGTTCGTGTTTATCTAGTATTTGCAGATTGCCCCAACAGCACCCCCGCCGACTGTTCTCTGAAGTGTCCAGCGCCGCACACTCATTCCTCATCGCAGTCGTTGGTGCCATAGTAGTCGTTTGCGTCAAATCGCGCTCCTATACTTTCATTAGGTCCACACAGTGTATTAGCTCGTGCGCACAAAGGCTTGAAAATGCCATGCTGTTGCTGTTTCTCTTATTGTGATGGCACAAACCTGTCATGCATTTCTTTGTCTCCCATCCATCTCTGAACAAAGCCACAAAAAGGCAAGGAAAGAAAGAACCGACGGTATCTTTGTTCGGAATATTCTGGATATGACTGTACCATCGTTATAAGCTTGTATAGCTCTTCATGAATTTGTATCTGCACCGATTCACCTGCTATCAGCATTGAACCACCACCCTCAATATGTGTATCACTCTTTCGGGCCGTGCAGCCTATTGCAACTGTGCAAAACTTCTCCCAGACAATACGCTTGTCCACTTGTGCGATGTCGCTCTTGCCAACAAGAGAACGCCATGCGAGATGGTGAGCTTCCCTCCACCAGATCAGTCTCTTACTGAACCAGCTTGTCCTAGGTGCTCTCAGGCGGGACATATCATAGTCTTCATTAACCCATCTGTTAGCGGCAAAGCCTCCATTGGCGGGCGGGACGAATATTACATCCCGGATGTATATGCGGAACTTGAAGCGCAACTCATCGCAGCTCTGAATAGTCCGTTGCCCCCTGCTGCTTCGCCCACCGTCGCTGATAACAAAGCCTTGATTGAAGCCTTAAAGGATGCAACAAGTTTTGTCAAGGTCGAACATGAGGATACAGAAGAACAATTCGACGAAGACGGTGCACCAACACCGGGTAGTGATAACGATGAAGATTCTGACGGGTGCCTGGATCGCTCTCAGACCCCAGTCAAGCTGGGCACCGGGTTCGGTTTGGCACTTGGGCGCTTGTTGTTCAGTAGTTAAGGTTCTACTGCAATATTTAGTGTGGGGAGATTGGGCAAGGTAAGCTGCACATCTCCTCAAAACAACAGACGGTGTTAACCACTTTTTCAAAACTACGTGTGTAAATTTACTTTTTTTTACTTGCTGTGCTGGCCCGTTCCTTGGAGCCAAGGTGGTCACGAAATCTGTTACCTCACCTCGGCCCCTTTTCTTGTTTATTCTCAGCCATTCATTAGCAACTCTCTTTCAGGCATCTTTATCTCTCTACAGTAACCTTCGTCGGGCTTCACTGATTTAGTACGAATCGCCCACTGTTACACTCTTGTTCTACACAAGACACAGGGTCGTCTCTTCAGAGCATGCAGAAGTAGTTACTCTCACACTCATCTGAGAGGAATTCGGATGCTCAGGGTAATGGGAATGCACCGCGAGGCCCCCCCATCATCAGAGCTTCTTACTAAACAGCGGTGAAGATGTCGCCCTCACCTCTTCCCACCGAGGTCAACCATCGAATACTCTCTTTTCTGGACCTCAAGTGTCAATTTCGCGAGGCCAAGAACGTACGACCATGCTACATATGCTATAAGATTTAATCTGCGCCATGCAGCTTCACAAGCATATCTATTAGACCAACACTGGTCATCTGCTACTGGGTTGCGAAGAATGTGTAAATTGTGAGAGAGTGCCAGTGACGTGATGCAACTCACCCGATGGTGATGAAGGTTGTTTCGGGGATGCCGGGACGAAGCACCTATGATGGCTACCTCACTTTGTCAATCCCCTTGTTTAGGCCCGATCGTCACTATGTCGGGTTTGAGTTGTCACATCGCAGTACGATCAACGAAGCATGAACGACAACTTTCATTCAGATGAAGAAACTTTGAGAGAATAAGGAATCGAAATTCTATTCAGTGCACTCAACTCTCAGCAAGGGAACCGATCCAACGATTTCTGTTTCACGGTTCAACCTCGACAACTCATATCTACCGCATAAGCTGCCCGTGCAACCGCCTGATCCTGCCCTGTTCCTTCCTTCACCAGTTCTGCTCTTCTAGCTTTTGCGAGCTCGGACGACATTGGCGACGGCCTTGCGCCACCACGTTTTCTGCTGGGCTCGTTCTGCAGGTTTGAGGGACTTGGACTCGGACTCGGCGACGTCTATAAAATCACTGCTTGTTGTAAACACGTTTTCATAAGCTTCGATTTCGTGAGGCATGTCAGGGGCATCTAAGCGCTCCCAGTCGGAGAGCAGCGGAGTGGTCTCTGTCACTTCTCGGAACGCCATGATTGTGATATGCTGGAGAATGATGGGAAGAAGTGTTCGCGGCTTTTATACCTGAGATCTCACCAGCCAAGACTAGATGACCAGCAAGTCCCTTTCTTTGTATCCTTTTGTCCTTCCGTCTGCCTTTCCTACAAGGTCCTACATTGGACAATGACCCTCCCCTACCCGCACAAAGCCGCTTTATTCAGCTTCAGCATTTTCTTTGTGAGAGCCACAGTGGGATTGTCTGTGCTTTAATGCAATCAATTTCACCATTGAGGCTTACTTGTGGCTCACAAGCAAGGAGATCTGGCAGGACGTGGACGCCTCCACGATTTTCAAGAGATATCTTTCTCCTCCTTGTTTTCAGCTTCTAATCCTGTATACCAAAAACCACCATCCAAGAGACCAACAATCATGCCTACAGTGGCCTTCCACCCGTCCACCAACCCCCCAGCCGAACCAACCCACATCCACATCATCCCCGACACGGAAATCTACCTCCGACACAGCAAGACCTGGATCCCAGTCCAGATCTTCGACCTAATCACCCAGCACCTCTTCCATGTCCAGCCTACCCCCACACCCCCATACGAAGACCTCATTCACACCCTCTCCTTCATAACATCCTACCCCATAACCGGCCCGCTAATATCCGAAATCCAAACCCTCCTTGACCACCACTACCACCACATCTACAACTCAAGCTCAAGCTCAAGTTCAAGCTCCACCTCCTCTGAAGACGACAAAAACGAAAAACAAGAAGACGACACCGACCTCTGGCGCCCCTTCGACAACATGCACGCCCAATGGATAACGCTGCAACGCCAACGTGCATCAGCATTATGATATAGGGTGTAATTTATGGAAATGGGCGTTCAGATATCGTTCTTTTGGAGCGTGATCCTGATTCAGAGAAGTCAGGATACACTGCCAACTCTTATCTCACTGTTCTCTGTAAGCAAATCCCTCGAACGTATGAACCTGGTCGGATTTTCATGCAAGATAATGGGGATGAGGATGAGGATGAGGATGAGGATGAGGAGGGAAAACGGGGGTTGGAGGGGCGTCGTCGTCCTCTTCAGGCTGCTACGCTGAGGCCGGTGGCGAGGAAGAAGCGGAAGTTGAGGTAGGTAGGTCGGGCTTTTCTATCGAGCTCGGTACGGCTTTTGGATAACAATGACAAAGAGGGAGGGTCATTGCGTGGGTAGGAGGTGAGGGCTTGGCTGGGGGTGCTCATCTTGTTTGGTGTTTGCTTCGTATTCTTGGAAATCTGCTTTTATGGCAAGGTAGATAGGAAGGATAGGACCGGCTTGAAGGGATTTTATTTCGAGTCTACCGTCCGTACTACTAGGCTGGTATGAGATAGCTATTAAGTTGAAGTCATGTGAATGCTTGGCAATGGTTATGTGACTGATGGACGGACGACCTTGATGTGGAGGTATTTCTCCGGCTATTGGGGGAAGGTGAGAGGGGGTAAAAATATTTCTTAGCTTGAACATATATACAATCCCCTCAAACTGCCGAAATTTCCATGACCTGCTTTTGAACCCGTAATCTCAGAGACCGACCACACTTTTACTATCAGGCCGTGTCTTTTTGATGCCATTCTGAGGTCATCGTCTAACTCCCGGTCTCGAATGTGTCCTGAGTCCTCACCAACGGCCCACCGCAAGGCGACACATCCACCACGTAGGTAGTTCTGTCGAAGGTGAATGACCCATCGGACTGCTGAAGAACGTACTGATATTCGACTGGAACTCCTGCCGGAAGGTAGATATCGATGAACCATTCCGGCCGTGACGGGGTGATTCGGCCTGGATTCATGGGAAGAATGACAGCGGACGGATCATTGACCGCTCCTCCGAGTAAGGAAGTATTGCCGACCAGGTAGACATTTTGGCCCTGTTCGATCGTAAGTCTTCGGATCAATACCGCAGTCTTCGATTACTGCGTATAGTGGTTTGGGACTCACGAATGTAGTAGGGGCGATGACGGAGAACTCAACTTGTGAAGCACAAGACTTGTCTACCTCTGGCGCACCAGCAGCTGTGGCAGGGGTGTATTGGCCGGTGGCGTTGTAAGATGTTGCAGAACACGTCGCTGGTGGCTGTTCGGCTTCGTTGTAGCCCCAACTGACGTATTCTCCATCACGGCGCTGAGCCATGGTTATAAAGCTTGCGTATGACCACGTGAGGTCATAGGCGGAGAGAGGCTCTCCGGTAGTTTTGCTGATCTGTTCAGAGAGAGATCCATTGGGAGGGGTGTATTGCTATGAGCTTGGTTAGCCGGTGGGACGTGCTCAAATCTAAGCACAGATATTACCTGCACGACAGAGACAAAGCCATCGGCGTAGGTTGTCATGCTGGCAAGTACATTGTCAAGGGTATTGTCTCTGTAGGTTCCTGTTGTGGCATTAGGATAGATATCCTTGAAGAATTCCAGATTGATATCATCAATGGTGAGCAAGTTTGCCTTTTCAAACTGCGCTACTGCATCGTAGAGAAACTCAGCCACAGCAAGAGTGGTCAGATACCATGGATTTCCGCCAAAATACGTATCTTCGGGGTATCTGCCGACAGCTAGTGGTTTTCCAACAGGAATACCGTTGTTGATAGGATAGATGTCACGGAAGGAGTCGACTACTACTTTGAGGGTGGCCAAGGAATAACTGTTGCAAGGCTGGAAGTCTGCGGACCAACATGAGTTTGGCATATCAACGTATACCGGATAACTCACTTCTGGCGTTACACGCTGCTTCAATGTCAAAACCGTGGATCGAGCCTAGAATTTGATCTGTATTGATTCCTGAGCGATTGACATTGCTGACATTAATGTCAGCTGTCAAATAGCCTCCCGTTGCATTCCAAAAGTTGCTGGACAGGAAACAGAGCACTTCGGGTGCTTGTCCGCATGGAGCGCAATCCAGAGCAATCTCCTTGGCAAGTATACTTCCTTGCACTAGAGCGCGATGCTGGGTGATAATGGTGAAAAAGGAACTGCCCTTCTGGAATTAGTAATGTCCACAAGAGGCTTATCGGAAAATCCTACCTGAACTTCTTCCCACAAATCGTACCCAGTCTGATTCCAGTACTGGCCCACGTATAGCAGGTCATTATAGATCTTGGGCAGTGTCAGTCGTTCGTAATTCGAGCTAGGGTCTCGGAAGAGCCTACAATAGGCCATATCACGTTCTTCACCCTGTCTTCTTCTCCGGACTCGAGAAGGCTATCGCTGTACTCCCTATTATATGTGAGCCTTTGCAAGCGTACAAAAAAATACAAGCACGGACATCAGAGCGATGGCTCTTAGAGCCGGCCCGTCTCGTTGTGGTCGGCCCCATGTGCCATCAAAGCGAGTCTTGTTGGTATAAAACTGTTCAGGACATGTCAGCTAAATGTCAATGACCCCGCCTTCTTCGAAGATACCTTGGGTTCTCCAAGTCCAAGTCCAGCTGGGTACAGTGTTCCTGAAGGATTGGTAACGGTTTGGAGAATGGCTTGTGAGTCGATGTCTGGTAGGTGTAAGCCGGGAGGTCGGTCAAGAAGCGGACATTCTGCAAACTTACAATCTTCGATGAGATTCTGAAGAGATCCGTCTCCATTGGTGTATTCATCCACAAGCATGATCAACGTCAAGGCCGAATCCCGTGTCCATGTGAAGAAGTAGTCTGGGTTCTCCCTTGAAGGAGAAGCTACCACAATCCCTGGATCGGCGCCGGGGACCAGTGATCCGCCACCACCAATGTTGTTGCGAACGCCTTGTAGGGCTATATCTCTCTCTGAGCTGATGAAATCATCCAAGCTTGATTGTCTCTGGGCGAGGATTGGTGGCCCAGCAGCCAACGCAGTCAGCACAGCCAGCGGGATTACGAGAGTAGTGCTGTTGACCTTCATGTTGATATACTGGGTCAATACAGTAAGTTAGGGTGCAGGTATGGCTTGAGCCGCTCTTAGAGACGGAGGTGAGCATGGCTCTAAAGTACTTCTCGTCTATGATCGGCTGCATGTTGAAGTGCAGGTACATGACGATGCTACCCTGGTATCCCCACAGAATAGTCCTTTCCGGATGCAGAAAGCGATGCTACTCGTACATACTTGAGGTGCTTTCCAAGGCAACCAAGACCGAGGTCGGCCAACAATGGGTTGTGGACCCCTCTTTCCCTGATTCCCCTGCATTGGTGACATCGAAATTGCGGGGATGGCAGAGCAAGGCACAATTCTCGCCAAAACTTATTTTTTACTCTCTTACGGAGTGGTGCACCAAAAGTCTTCGAGATACGCTAACTAGGATATGTAAAAGCTGGCCTTCTGGGACTAGCATGCTGCTAGTCGTCAATAAGAACGTAAGGATGATCAGAGGGGGCAGATGGCTGAAGCTTAACTGACACAGAGCTCTGAGCCATATCAAACAACCTATAGAGGGCCCCCAAGGTCCAAGGAAAAAGGGGGTCATAGCGGCAGCTCTAGGGCGTTACTCTTATTACACACCTTTTATGTCACGCTAAAGCTTAGATTGAGTGTGCTAGTTGCGCTCTAGTTTTAGCGTATACTGATGACTTTTGATGCACGACTCCGTAATTAGTGTCTTAATTAATCTAAAAGATCCAGCCAGTAGACTTCAATCGCAAGGTTGATCCGGAGGGACAGAAGCTAACATAGTACGTAGTAACACAAAACATGCTCTTGGAATTGCGCTGTTATGCAAAGGTTACAAGACTCAGTTTAAAGGCTTTTGCGACTTATTAATGAGTGCATTGAAGGTCATGACACAACACAACCCTCAAGCATTCAACCAGTGTAAGCATTATTCCGCCTGAACATTGAATAGAGCGTTGCCCCCAAGCGGTTGGTTGACGCAAGCAGAGCCGACTTGCCGCTCGTGATTTGGCTGGCCACCCGCCACTCTGACAATAGTAACTACTCTTTCTCCCGTTCACATATTACAGATTCGGATTGATCCCCCAGGTCTCACGACTCTATGCCTGATCTCGCATCTTGCATTGGTAAGTAATGAGGATGAATCGTCTGTCGAGAGTCAGGTGTGTTGTTCTGCAATGTTAAGGTCCTCTCAATCATCGAACCGGGCAATTCATAGCACATAATGTCCACTCCAGAGAAAGGCCCCAGTCGCACATGCTACTCATTGTCTTATACAAACGATACATCTCTAGCCAAATCGTTCTTTGGCCCTTCGGATGCTCCACCGCCTAGCTCATTTATCCTGCGCAGCCTAGTACTGGGAATATCCCTTCCATAGCATCATCCTGGAAACTTTCTGTTAAGCACACATTCTCGCTAATTTGTGTCAAAGGTAGAGCTTGGGGAAGACTTCGAGTTCTCAGACCGTTACCAACTAGCTCTCACCTATCGGTCCCCATGTACCACTTAAACCCTGGTTTTCATTTAAACCGGACTATGCTGTTCAGCAATGCCTGCCTCATTTCCTCTGGCGCCATCTCGTTCGGTGCCATAGGGCTGAGAACAGGCCCAGCAATAGTCTGGGGAGCAACCCTAGCCAGAGTCGAGATTCTGCATCCCCAATTCACTTGTACTTGAAGGTTATGTCTCTGAGGAGTACTGGAGGTCAACTAAAACGAGATGTTAACGAATCGCAAAGCTAACCTCCGTGTTGCTGAGGGTTGTATTATGACGAGAATGCTTCCAGAACAGCAGATGTGCGATCATGGTCTCGTGGGCAGTGGCATCTGCTGGCAACAGGGCACTTCACGTGATGTAACGACATAGAAAGTTGTGATTGTGCCACGAACAGGACGGAGGGTGACATACACATTGCATGTCAAGCCGTACATCCCCTGTTTCATGTATGGTCTTCTTCATTAACGGCAATCCGATAAGCTTCCAGTCAGGGATGTTCTTGATGAACTCGACTATTGCGACATCAGCTTTTCCAATTCTGAACTTTTCTCTATAGTCTCCGGCTATGCAGAAGAAGATGTGGATGGCCAGTGGTGTGGGTTTGGGAGTTTTCAGGGAGATGGATATGGAGCCCCTATGCAGATGTTATGGCTGTTCAGCTTGGTAGGGATGTAGACGGGTCTTGTTAGCAAAAGAGCTTGTTGATGTTGCGTACAGGTGAGCATGGTTTTATACATCGGCACAAGGATCTTGTGACTGTCTGTTTGCTGTACCTGAGCATTGTGAAATCTGTGCTATGAGTTACTTGTGAAGTTTAAGGTGCCTGACGCGTTCGTCTTGGTTGATTTCTGTTCATGTGCTGCTGACCTGCACAGAGACTTGTACCTTTCTAATGTTTAACTCAACCATAGTTACCACGAAGGTGTTAGCGGCTCGCTAGTGAACAGCAATCAGGCTCCTTGCATTTCGACTTGCTCAGAAAAGCCAAACACCTACCTTTACCTGCCACATTACCATCGCACTTTGGCAACCCCTGCTGCCCCCGCAATTTTTACAGCCCTACTCCTGCTCTCCGTTAATCTAAAGCATGAATATACCAACTCCTACTGTGACCTGGGAGGAGGGACCATTTGGTCAAATGCAACCAATATGGACATCAGAGCCTTCAGTTGATGCCATCAAATCAGTCGTCCGGCAAAATCTCGACTTGGATCAGACTATCGAAGTCGATTTCCTCGCTCAGGGAGGCTTCAACAAACTCTACAGCGTCAAAATTGGCGACACTGGCCATGTATATGTCATGCGTGTCAGCCTACCTGTCGATCCTCACCTCAAGGTCGAAAGTGAGGCGGCGACGATAGAGCTAGTCAGACAGCGTACAAATATCAACGTGCCAGGCGTCATTGCCTTTGACTCCTCAAACCAAAACCCACTTGGGTACGAATGGATTCTCATGAAATTCATGAAGGGTCAGGTTCTTGAGACGGCGTGGAAGGCCATGACTTGGGGGAACAAAGAAGAACTAGTCAAAACGGTTGCGCGATCTCTAGCGGAACTGTTCGAGCAGAGTTTCAAGGGCATTGGCAATATCTACTTCGCTAAAGGTGGCACTGCCCCTCGAGTCGGGATGCTACCATCGGTGGAGAACCAAATGTTCAATCACACTCTTCGGGTTATGATTTTGGTGAAATGGTGTCAATGGCGCTCTTCTGGAACAACCGTCAAAAACATAAGTTGTATCGCGGACCATACAAGGGCAATGCAGATTGGCTAGGTGCACTCTTAGAGCTTCAAATCTACGATAGTAGAGATAAGATCTGCCAACTTACTACTGAAAAGTCAAATATGGAGCAGTCAAGTTTGATGGTGGGTTCAACTTCGATCAAGACCAAGCGGAGGGGCTGACGTCAAGCCCTGATGGGCTACCACCCCTATCAACAAAACCGGAGTCGATTTCAGGACATGATGACGAGGAGATTGAGGATGCAAAAAGTGTTGTCAGGCTCGCTGAGAAACTCATTGAATCAATCCCACTCTTTTTCTCCAACGCAAGCACGGAGGAGGCTGAAGTGACATATCTCTACCACGACGATGTAAACCGGCACAACATTCTAGCAGACCCAGGCGAACAAGGCGTGCTCACCGCCATACTAGACTGGGAATGTGTTTCAACTGTTCCCCTGTGGAAAGCTTGTCAGTATCCCCTTTTTCTGCAAGGACAGCCGCGGCATGACGAATACTTCTGGCCGGAAGCAGAGCAAGTCGCAAGCGGAGAAGAAGTTGAACAAGTCTTGTATGGGGCACACATTTTGGAGTATGAGCAGACAAAGCTGAGGCGAATCTTCGAAGAAGAAATGACGAAAGTGGTACCAGAGTGGTCCGAAGTGCGCCAGAAATCTATTCGACAAGCCGATTTTGCTTTGGCGGTCAATTGGTGCGATGGCCCATTTACCCATAGACGAGTCAAGGTTTGGTTAGAGAGAACTTTGGCAGGCAAGAAAGAGTACCAGCGGCTGGAGGAGGTGAATCTCTTTGAAGAGAGTTGAAGGAAGGTTTCGTGTTGCTGAGTATGGCAAGAAATTTTGGCCTACGTTTCCTGCCCAAGGGCCCGAAGGGCCATCTACTTACTACTATACTTACTACTCTAACTATCTTGGCGGGCCAAGCCTGCCATGTAGGCGCCTGACACTTTCGCTAGCCATCCACGTTAGGCTCACAACTTGCAAATCACTTCGAATCCATATTGTACACATTTTAATGAAGTAATTTATTCCCTGGCTCTAACTCGATAGATCAATCTTCTGCACTGCGTGATTAACGGCAATCTCGATGACGGCGGGGCTGGTTATTATCTACACGCATGGACCATCTCCCACCTCCAGAGCATGGTCGCAAACCGGCATGCTTCGCAGTTCCTCTGCTAGGCAACACATCAATTGGCAATCATGATTTTTGGACTTTTCCCATTGCCACGGATATTGCCAGGGATAAAAAAGGGTATTTAGTGCCGGAGGGCCGTAACGGCGATGCCTCTAACGATGAATCCTTCTTTGCCAGAGTTCAGACATGGCTCTATTTTGGGCTCCTCAGGGAATTTTTTGGCTTGTCTTTCAAGCCAGAAGATTTCATTGCGATGTCCCCAGAGGCAGACCCTTCAATCAACTCCGGTAGACTTACTGAGTATATGAAAAACTGGGTAGAGAAGTCCAGCAAAATGCCGGGACCGAGCATGGAAGCAGAACTTCGACAGAAGTTGATAGTATTGAAAACAAGTTGGAGATTCGTGAATACAATCGACTATATCGAGCTCGCGAAGACCGACGATCACGCCCTTGTCCTTTTCTCGATCCGGGCTCTGATTACCACGTTATCCAATATGATGTACGAACATCGCAAGGATGATGCCGACCCCAACGGATACTTTAGGATTAATAGTGATATCTACTCCTTGCCTGAGTTACCGAGATCATACCTACCTTTAGTTGCTTACATGGAAAGAACAGGCTGGTGTTCAGCGGAGATCATGCGGCTGCTGAGCACTTATACCTGCACAACAGTCTGGTACTTGGCTTGTCTTCATGAAGGTGAGCCGAATCGCCTCGATCACACTTCGTGCACTCCTGCTTCGGCTTGCATTGCTCGAAATATCACAGCAGACACCTACCGCTCTACTCACTTTTTGGAGAGTTGTCAGTGTGCTGCGATTGGACCGGACGCCGACGCTGTAATGGACGCTCTGCGACACGACGCAATACCGCTGATACGTTGCACAGTCTTTGACGATGTCAATATTGACTTCAAGGTTGTCAGTTCAATGAGAGCCCGTGACCACTTTGCTATCAGTCATGTCTGGGCGGATGGTATGGGCGTGCAGAGGCAGAACAAGATCCACACTTGTCATCTGCTCAACATTCTTACGCAGGTCAGAAAGGCTTATATATGCAACCTTGCTCACCAGCTTGAATCAATATGGTGCCCCAGCGCCCAGTTGATAGCAGAAAGAATCGCTACAAGAAAGCAGTCATTTCTGATTTGGATAGATGCATTCTGCATTCCTGATAGCCTTGATTCCGAAGCGATATTACTCAAGCGTAAGGGTATTTCTCAGATTGACACCGTCTTTGCAGGGTCCGAAGCAGTTCTTGTGATGGATCGCGGTCTGATGAAGGACATCCAAGACTGTTCTTCCACTATCGAACTCCTTGGACGTCTCACGACATGTGGCTGGATGACTCGAAGCTGGACCTATTTGGAGGCATCTCTTAGCCAACCTATCACCACCTACATCTGCACTGGTACTCAACTAGTCTCTTTATTCGATGTACTGCAGCTTGGCAATCAATATCTTAGACTAGATGTCTCGTCGCAAGGGGTATATCGGGATTTGATTACCACTTTGCAACCATTTCTCGTACAGTGGATACCAAAGGTGAAGTATCTGAAACCTGGACATGAGGAATTTTGCAGGTTCATGTGGATTTGGAACGCGCTCAGTGATCGCGCCATCTCTCGTTCTGAGGATATGTGTTTCATTGTTGCGATGTTAATGAGGCTAGATGTATTAGACCTCATGACATGTCCCGAAGAAGAACGGTTTGCAGCTCTGATCCAAGACTTCCCATTTCTTCCTCGCAGTTTTCTATGCAAGAATATGCCACGCATAGCCTCCGGTACAGCCGAGCGACGTTGGCTTCCTAGCATGGTGAAGACGAAAATCAATATTTACGAGGACTCGTTTGACTTCACCGATGAGGGCATCATCATTGGACCAGACCTGGCCTTCAAGACTCTTCTGTGCACAGATAAGCCACTTTTAGATACCTTTTCAATAGGCATACCCAATCTGGGCAGTAGCCGCTACGCCCGCACATATTACACTATCAGGCTTCACCAACCATCATCTACTGTCGACACCCCACCAACTACTACATCATACTGTATCGCCCTCAGTGCCAACGGTTCCAGGACTTTTGAAACGGATCCGGAGCATACTGACAAATATATTAGGTTCATGTTTGGCCATGGAGTATGTCTCAAGATAAGAGGTCATCGTGCAGATGGCGCGGTCGAAGCTGATTACGTGACATCCCTCACGTACACAGCTAGAGGCCCCGGAAACACTCCCAACTCATCACTTGAGCATTTTGACGTTGAGTACGTGGGCGCCACTGTTATTGTTCCTTGTGGTGAGTTAAGATCAGCTCATCATCGCCTATGTTTAGCCGGCTGTTTGACTATCAAAATTAGATCGTACAAAGTGGCCTCGGCCTCGGAAAATCCGTCAGCACCCCCGTGTCATGGTCTCGCCGTGGTATTTCTGGGGACTAGCAGCCTACCTACTCATATCTTTCATCATCATGCTGCCCATTTTAGGTTTTTATCGGCATAACTCTTACATTATATGGTTGACCATAGCGATCTTCGGATTACCACTACTCTACATCCTCTTGTTTCACGGTGTACATGAACTGCTCTTCAGAAATTGGGTTGATAGCTTCGTTGACCGCCGCACGAAGCAAAGATGGTGGGAGAAGATAATGCGTTTCTTCTGACATCATTTTCTAACCCTCCAATTCCTCGGTACCTTTATGTGAGAAGCACCTCCAGATATGCGAGGACTCCTTGCTTTAGAATCTGCAAGGGCGACCGGGCGGGCTTTGGCAATTTCCCTTACCGCCGAAAACTGCGCGGCTTGTTCAGACTTTTCTTCACGTTCTTGCTACACTTCTACGTTTTGCGTTTTATCTGCTCTATGCCGTTTCAGCACCGTCTCCATAGAGCGACAAACCCTCGGCGTCGAAGACCAGGCCTCTCATGCGTTAATTGCCGGCACCACAAGATCAAGTGCGACCGAAACGATCTGTGTACACAATCGTACCTCTGCCAAGACCTGGTCTACTTACAAGGTCTACAGCAATGATCCCGTTGTGGCGTAGGCGTATTGCAAGGGAATGTACAGCCACGCCTTCTTGACAATAGCCCATATTGGACCGATACGATCGAATCGCGAATTCACTGGTAAGGGCATCAACGGTTAAGCTAGAAGGCAGAACGGGCTGTCGTGGTAAAGGCGATGAAGGCCTTATATAAGAGGGATGCTATAGCCATAGCTTGACTGACTCGACGCGGCGTGAATATGCTGTCATGATTGGCTTAACCCGCTGGTAAGTAAATGCTATATATTGCCTATATACCTCTGCAAGGACAGCGATTCAGTTCCTTGATGGCGTTGAAAGGAATCCTTGCCCTACTTAACAGGGAAAAGCCCACCAAAAACTATGGCTAAACTACCATCAATTTGTGCTTAGTTTAGGCCTAACCGTGATATGATCTAGTTCTTCGCTCTGGTTCCATTTCTCACCAACTTGGCAAAGATACCAATTGCTATGATTGTCCTGCAGTCCAAGTAAGGATAGGGACAAAGGAGAGTTCTCATCGCAGGGGAAAAAGCACCCCGTGAAATTCATTTTGAGTACAGGCGCTAGGTTGCAGGATGAACTAGATCAGACACGAATGGACGGTAGGGCCAAGGCGTGATAGCCGGCCCAGAAAGCAAAGATCATAGATGTCAACATCCACGAGGCTCTAATAAACAATGCAGGCAGAACTCCACCTTGCGACAAAGGTACAGACAGAGTTTTTGACCGTTATAGCAGCTATGGGGACGATACGAACAATGCATTGGCCTCAGTTGATGAAGAGGAAGAAGAAGACGCACAAGAAAGCCATCCCAGCATCCTTCTCTCCCTCGGACAATGTCGAGCCAGAGCAGACGAATCTCTTCCGCCACGGCTTGAGCTTTTGCAATATGCTCGTCTCCACGATAGGCCATCTCAGCGCGATCATCAACTGGTAATGCGTCACCACGGTCCCAAGCTGGAGGGCCATGCCAACTACCAGAAGTCCTGATGGGGCGACCCGGGAAGGAAGCATTACCACCACGAATCCGAGAAGTCATGCCAGAGGCCTTCGCTGCAGAGAAAGCGGCAGAGTGGCTGGAGGAGCAAGGGCAGGAAGACAGATTTCACGAGGAATGGGACTTGGAGTGGGAGCAAACGAGGCTGAGAGAGGTGTTCAAGCAGGAAATGGAAAGAGTGGATACGGAATGGATGCGGATCTATGGGGCGTCGGCCAGAGAAAAGGGATTTTGATCTCGCAGCGCAGAATGGTGACGAGGAGCTGTTTCGGAGGAGGAATGGCGTGGTTGGTTGAGTCAGTAGTGTTCTTTTGTTGTCAGCGAGAAGGAGGATGCAACGGTTGAGCGATGCTTTTGGTGAGTTATTTGATACTGAAGAAGCCTTCTGGCCAGAAATATTTCAGGGGTACATTCGAGATTAGTTGCGACTTCTGGATGAGTGCCTGCGATGCTGTGCTGATTAATACTCCCCAGCCCGGAATCACTCTTGGCTAGGCAAGTTCAGGAATTTCCTGACCGGCTTGATCCATCCACGCTCATACATCAGGTCAACCCAAGCTTCGTCGTCCGGAACCCTTTGTAGCCATCTCGTCAAATTCACATGCCGAGGATACTTGATGCCAAACGTGTTCTGCTGACCACGCCACCTTGCCCGATGCTCAATTGACACCCAGTAGAACAAGTCATCCAGTATGAACTTCAGATAATATTCCCGCTGTAGCCGCCACGGGTCTTTGCCCCTGCAGATATGCCATAACCATTGCAAGAATTCTTTGGGACGACGGAACTTTGGTTTCATTTCCAGCAATTGAAGCAATAACGACGGACCGTGAGCGAGGACTTGCCCACTTAAAATAGCTGCAAATGCGAATCGGATGCCTAGTAGGCGTGGACAATGATGCCCGTCTTCGATCCCACCCATCTCTGCATCCATACCTTCGATGTACAAGTGGGCATTGCAGATGAGGAACTTGACCAGCCATTCCAGGTGACGTACCATCGAGTTTAGAAGATCGGGAGGGTTTTTCATGACGTAGTCACTTCTCGCCTCCCACTGGCCTTGCATGCTGATCATCTGCACTCCAAGGAGAATAGTTCTCAGGAGCCGTCGAGCGTGAGAAGGTTCTTCGTCAGTGGTGCCCGCTCCGAAAATATGGTCCTCATCTCGAAAAGCTCCAACACGCTCGAGGCGAAAAAGAATCCGATCGATTGTAGCGTTCATCCGTTGACCGGTTGCAAGCCATGCGAATGGGGACCATTTTGTGGTTGTTTTGGCAAGATTGAAGAGGATAATCTTCTCTGTTGGGAATGTACGTGAGGCAACAGCGTTGACGATGGTATGACCATGTCTCGTAAGAAGCGAATGGAAGTGACGACAGGTCAGCATCAGACACTGGAAATCTATGACTTGTCCAGAAAGATGACTGAATATATTGATAAGCAATTCATTTGGCAATGATTCCAAGCTTGACCCGGTCGAGCAAAGACTTGGACTGATACCTGTTTTCGATCAGCTAAACCTCCATTGTAGACAGGGAATGGGATACCAAGAGTGCTGAAGTGGGTAAGTAATGGATTCAAATCTAAAGACGTCGGCGTGTGCTGAAGCCTTTTAAGAGGCTGCGTCGACTCGTCCTCGGTGTCAGACCGTGAGTGCTTGCCTAATCTTTGTTTTGTGGTGTAGTATTCACGTTCCTTTTTGAGGACATGTGGCGCCAAAGCACTGCCGTCAGAGGAGCAAAAGGTAGCCATAGTAATTTACAGTGCCCCGAATTCTTGGAAAATGTGGAGAATAGAAGTAGCATAGCTGAGAGAGAGCAACAAGCCTACCTAGCACTTCACGCAAATGTGTTTGATGTGACATCAATTTCATGTGACCATGAAGCGCAAAATCGAAGGTACTATAAACTGGGAGAGTGATAGCCACAAGCATTTGATCTTGCAGCAATTTTCGCGCAGGGCATATCGAAATTATGTTGACCTCTGCAAGCTAGATACGGCGAGAACATTGGGACTGGTCCCCGTTTGGTAGAGTCCTAAGGGGGATGGTATGGTGATATCTCCATCCCCACTCCCGAGCTCGCTGAGGCTTCATGCAGAGAACGCATCAGCGGTTCTTTCAGCTACCTACCAAACTAGCTAGCAAATCATATATCGTGTAGCTGACCATAAAATGCACAAACCGCTCAGTGGGAACGCTTTGTAGTCCTGGCCCGCTAACAAAGTGTATTATCGTCGTAGGATGAGCCCTGAATCACACTCCACCTCAAGAGCAATGGGCTTAGAGTCTAGCCGTCGTAGACAGTTCCGTAATACTCCAAGCTGTCGTTGGTTGCTGGTTAATCTGACGACGACGTTGGAGAAAGCTTTCAATTGCGTAGCTTTTTGAATCGGGCAGGTGTGCCGATGTTCAGACATGCCTTGATACTCTCACAATTCTTCTAGCCCATGTCCCCTCTGCCGCCGGAGTTTCGTGGACCAGTTGTGCTGATGTGCACGCAGATCAATTGCCCCTGGAGCTCCGCGCAGGCTCTCGTGGTGGGTACTCTGCCATGGAAGCCTTTCCTGAGGACTACATTGCCCACAATCTACCTCTGATCCTGTTGTCGGGCATCGGCCATGGCGAACAGGCGGCATCATCAGACTCAACAGAGCGCTCTCGCAACCTTCTACAGGAGGGTGGATTCAGGATTCGAACCGACGTACCACCTCTGACAGACTCAGCTTCAGAAGATCTTCTCCAGACATTTCTAAGATTTGACTCGACGAACCGTATCTCTGAGCGCAAGGATGTATCAGTAAAGGATAAACCTGGAGCATTCAACATCAAGAGAGTCGGGCGGGTAGGTTAGACTCCCCTCTACGGTTTCGCCTTCCCATCGTTTCGTGCTGACAGATCCTACCATCCAGGCTTATGCTCTGCCTCCTCGGAAAGCATCACCTCCACCCCATGCGCCGAGACTAGGTCCTCTATCAGACGGTGGCAGCCCCCCACCGCCGCTGGCTCTTCATTCCACCATCTCACCATTGACACCAAGCTCTCCACTCTACCCGGATGGGATTTTCACTTCCCTATGGATCACAAAACATCAAAGTCGTCTTCCCGCAGTCTTCATAACCTTCTTCACTTTGACAGCAGATCCAAACACAAGCTCCCTTCGTGACAATCAGATCAAAACAGAGATTGCCAACATTCGAGGCGTCTTCTATTCCACGAATTACAAGACAAAGGTGGTGGTGATATTGATTGGAGAAGCCGATACGGACTCCCCACTTGACCTGGAAGAACGGCTCAGCAGCATCAGAAAGGCTACCGGCTTTGACTCTAGACACTTGGTCTTCTACCAACCTGAATCTTCCAGGGATGCTGTGATTGAGTTCGTGAAGAGTTTTCTAGCTTCTCTACAGCCGTTTTGTGTGGAATACTACCGTGATCTCTCGAAGCATACAAGGAGAAAGAGAAACAGAACGACAATCCCGCCTCCAACTATACCTCCTACGTTGGGAACGTCCCAGACATTACCATCACAAGCCTGGAATGTTCGCTATGAATTCAAGCTGGGTGTCTTCGCAGAGTTTAGGCAAGAGATGGATGCGGCATGCCGAAATTACGAAAGTGCATATGAAGGTTTATTCTCGCATGAAATCTTCGAGACGATCTCAAGTTGGAGCCCGCGGTTCAATGAAGCGAGACTACTGGCGGACGCGATCGCTATACGCATACTCAGATGTCTCCTGTGGACTGCACAGCCTACTAGCGCTGCCAGATTCTGGATCAAACATCGCCACAGAGTAAGGAGTTTGGTGGACCGTAGAGGCAAAGGGTCTGGGAACTATGGATGGGAAGCATGGGAGGCTATTTGGTGCAAATCTTTCGCTCAAATACTGGCCATGACTAGAAATCTGGAAATCTCGCCTTCTGGCTCGGTAGAAAGTCAGCAAGTCAATGCACAATTCTCCCCCCCTGAAAAGTCGATACCTATCGGTGAACGGATTGCACCATGGGAATTGCTGCATCATGGTGGTTATTGGTGGAATAGGGCGTGGAAGCACGTTCGTAAACGTCGGGCGCTGGCCTCTCAGATGCCGGAAGAGGATCGGACATCACCAGGCCAATCGCCAGCTTCAGCCATAGCGAATAGATCACATCTGTACGAGACTTACCTTGCCCTTGAGCCGCATCTTGAATATCCGATCGACAACAAGAATGGATATGACTACTCACTGGAAGTATTGAATATCATTCGCTCATCAATACACAGCTTCTCTAAACGTCATCAAGAACGATTTGTAGAGCAGTTACGCCTCGAAGAGGCTAAGGAATGTCTAAGAGAGGAACGGTGGGACGATGCTCTTTTGATAATGCGCTCAGTCTGGCCATGTCTTTCCTGGAGACGAGCCGGCTGGTGGAATATGGTCGTCGAGGCAGCTTGGATCTTAAGGAAAGCTGCCAAGCAGACAGCCGATGCCGACAGCCTTCTTCGATTAGAGTGGGAGTCTCGCAACTCAGTCTTTCCAATCCATCCTGAGTTGAAGCACAACTTCCACAGTTGCCTTGACGACCTAGATCCACCAGCTTCAAAGCCGAGCGTGGTCATCATATCTGAAGATACTCTGTCACCGGTCTGGGCGTCTCTACATTTTGCAACAGCAGAAGGCAATGTTGGTGAGTCTTTGAAGACTCAGTTAGTCCTAGTTTCTACTGCACGCCGACCCTCAGGGCCTATCCATCTCTCCGAAGTCAAAATCGTGTTCGAAGGAGGTTTACGGCCAGTCAGAGTGTTGTCGGATGATAGCGAGACCCAAACTCAAGCCTCGACAACAGTTGTAGCGGATATACGCCTGAGCGAGTCATCCTCACTGGTGGCCAACTCTGCTGTACAATCACCAACAAGTGGGCTGGCTTCGCTTTTTGGGATGGCGAACATTACAATTCAACCTGGTGAAAGGAAAGTGTTCAACATAGTTTGTGTCCCTCGCGAGGCAGGCGACGTCAAGGTGTCATCCATTAATTTACTGTGCGAGACAAGCGCTTTCAGCCTCACCTATGTCATCAATCAGCAGATCACTTCAGATGCAAGATGGTGGTCTGTGCAAGACACGCGACCTTTTTCTCGACAGCTACGTCGTGAGACTGATGCAAGTACTGTGAGAATATTGCCCAAGCCTCCTAAATTGTGTATTGAGATGCCAAATCTAAGGCGAGCATATTACATGAATGAGAAAATTTCTCTGGCCGTCTTAATTCGGAACGAGGAAGAAGAGACGGCTGATGTGTCGATCACAGCTAGATTACTGAGTCCGTCGCGAAACGAGGCGGTCATTAGCTGGCAGGGCGAGAGCGAGTCAGGTTCCTCGGGCGCTGTATTGAATGAAAAAGATGCGTCTTCGAGACATATTGTGTCGCTTCCCCGCCATTCAATTGGCCTTATACCAAGTGCTGATAGTCGCGGCTTGACGCTCAACATGATGCACACACTGAATGCAATGCAACACCAGCTGGAACTGGCAGCCACCTACCATCTTGTGGATGACCCGGAGGCTCCACTGACCAGGACTCTCACTGTCGACCTGCCCATCAGCCGTCCATTCGAAGCCAACTATGAGCTCATGCCACGGTTGGACTCCGCACCATGGCCGAGCTTCTTCGATCCAGGAAGTATAGGCAAAGGTCTCTCCCAGCGGTTCTTGCTCATCTCAAAGATTGCTTCTTTTGTCATAGAGCCGGTGATTGTTGACACTGCTGTTCTTCGCCTTCAGGAAATCTTAGGCAATGCCATCTGCAATATTGATGATGAGAAAAGTGTCACTGCAAACCAGAGCTCCGGCCATGCTCACGAAGCTGACGGGATCATCGCGCCAGAGGGGCTAAGAGAATCCAACTTTGAGTTGGTTGTCCAAGAAAATGCCCTTGGTGACCCACACAGTGTTGCGCTCAACCTGGATCTCGTCATTCGGTGGCGGCGCAGCCCAGAGGATGACCTTGTCACGACCCCGCTGGAAGTGCCGCGATATGTTATTCCAATGTCTGAGCCCAGAGTTCTCCTGAGCAAGAGAAGCGAGACCACCAAGAAACAATCTGGTCTAGTGCACTTACAGTATACGATCGAGAACCCTAGCATGCACTACTTGACATTCAACTTGACAATGGAATCTAGTGATGAATTTGCATTCAGTGGTCCGAAAGCTACCATTTTTTCACTGGTACCTATAAGCCGCCGGACTCTAGATTACCGGATACTCGCATACCATGGAACGAAGTGGGTGCGGGTAAGTCTGGGGGTAGTGGATGCTTATTTTAGCAAAGCGTTACGGGTCAGTCCGGCCGGCGAAGGTATCAAATCTGATGGAAAGCGAGGGTTGCTAGTTTGGGTTGAATAGATGGATGCACGGGTACATAATGACAGCTTGCATTTGCGTACAGCACTCCTCAGAAGAGAGTGAAAAGATGATCGTACACTTGACTTGAATGTATTTAGTTGTGCTCCGTTTCATGGCCTCTGTCTTCTGTACTGTTGATCGCAGCGCTACCTGCAACTAGTCACATGACTCGAATAGGTATTTTGCACCCCCTTCTTCAGCGCCTCGGCTGACGTTCCTTGAATTTGGTTCTGCAGGCGACGTCATACTTCTCACAGCAAAGGCCGTTGTCAATAAATTTCCGACAAAGTGACATCTCAATCCACTATATCTGTGCAGATCCATACTTGTATGCCATGGACAAGCTCCAAGATACCAAAGTCCCGTTTGTTAGCGGCGAGAAAACCGGCTTGATAGATCTCTCACAGCCTAGCTTGTTCAGTATGAAGTAGTGACAGTTGGCCCTTGGCTGTGCTGACAGAGCGGTAGTATCTGCGGCTTCGATCGCTTTCAATCCGATCTTTTGGAAGTGAGTACCAAGCTCCTACCTTTACAGAGACGTCACTAAGAATTGCGATCAGTGTCGTTGCCAGACAGGGTATGTATCTACCCCTCTCTGGAATTTTCCTTCAATGTAACCGCTCTAGAATACCACAACCACGTTCTGACCAAGATCTTTCGTTCTCCCTACTACGGATGCTACGCCCTTGCTGTGACCATCTTTGGGCTAGGTGTCTTTAGAGACCATCTCTATAATGAAGCGCTTTCCAAACAACCTATCTATCCACCCATTCATCAACCCTACATCGCTTATGGCCTTCTCGCCGCGGGCAATCTGCTCGTGCTTTCGAGCATGTGGGTACTGGGGGTCACAGGCACATATCTAGGTGACTACTTTGGGATCCTGATGGACGAAAAAGTCGGGGGCTTCCCCTTCAACGTCACGGGAGCACCGATGTACTGGGGTAGCACTTGCTCTTTCTTGGGGGTTGCCCTGCTACGCGGAAGGGTGGCAGGTCTGTTGCTGACCGCCGAGGTGTTTGTGATGTACCTCATTGCCTTGAAATACGAAGAGTACGTCCCTGAGGAAGTCGGGCCTTCGATCGTCTGCTAACTCTAATCAAGTCCCTTCACTGAGAATATTTACGCGCAGAAGGATAAAAGGGAAAAGTCGAAGAAGAGGGCATAAAGAGGGGTGGGAAGAACAAGATTTGGGCTGACCCTGGTTGATTGGGATGGTAGACTACCCGGACCAGTTCAAGGACGACGACCATGAAAGATGACGCAAAAAGTTCCTGTTTCAGATTCAACATCGCTTGAGACGTGTGAGACTAGATAGATACCCATGTCAGTGCGTAGAAAAAGCAGTGATATACATTGGGTTCTCTATCTCATTCAAGTTATACGCAGAAGTAATGGTGGCTAGACGCCCGGAGGCTGTTGCGCCAGAAATATATTTTGTCTCTCGATTTATTTAATCGTTGGAGAGCTTCGGACCTCGGCCGCTTGATCCTCCCGGGCGGTGGAACCGGGGACCCCTGCATGGAGCACAACCGCGATTCCGTCAGTGGTGCATTTCCCCCAATTTTGGGGGAACCTGATCTGCGCTCTTCTGTGCTGGGAGCTTTTCAAGACTCACAGCCTCCATCATGAGCAGTCTCATGCGCCTTCGGACATACACTTGGTTCTTCTGCTTTTGAAGCATCACATCACCTTCTGTCACACACCAAATTCAGTTCTGAAGACCATCGTCTTGCTGGCTCGAGAAGCCTCAAACCTGCCACAGCGGCGAGACTCGCTTGGGCACTTCTCTTTCAGATGCCTTCGCAGCAAGTGGAGGTCGCTGAGGCGATCGCAGGCATCAAACGGGCTCTGAAACGTCAACGAGAAGGCACGACCATACCCTCGATCCTTGTTTGCAGGAACCAATTTACTGATGGTGCCCCTCTTCAGCGAAGTCCGATCAACCTGTAGCCGCTGCTTCAAATCGAGGAAACAAGCTTCGACACGGCGCAAAATTTGTGCACGAAGGAGCTTTGATTCATGTGACTGGACCGGAGGTATATAAACAGGTATGCACACCCGTCGCCGGTCGCGCTAGATGTGGCTCCAAGAAGCTGATGAAGATAGCAGAAGATCGAACATGCCGGATACACGCGATATATTCTTGACAGAAACCCGCGGAGATACAATGAATATGGTGAAGAGTTGGACGACAGCGAATCGGACGAAGAGGCGGATGCGGATGCCGCAGACCAGAATGCTTACAGTGGCATTCGTCTAGAAGGTACCTACAGCCCAGACACTACGGCCACTACAGCATTGCTAACCACCATCTAGAGCTACTATGTCCTTTGAAACATCCTTCCGAGCTGCCGGTCCACCCTACGATGTCACCTGCCTACCTGTCGAGTGCTCTGCCAGACATGGTATCTTCAACTCACGAGAAGCTTAGACAGGAGCGCGCCAACTTGTGGAGAGCGAAATACCTGAACCGACAATTGACAGGAGATGCATCCTGGATACCGGCAGGAGCACTCGAGTCCCCTGACGACTGGGAGCTGTTCGAGCCAAGGAACCAAGGAGTCCACAGACAGTCGCTGGGGAAGCGCAAAAGACAGGAAAGCGGGAACCATGGTCAGAATGGAAATCCCCATCAGCACTCGGAGGCGCAGGCTGAACCCAATGATGTGGGCAAACACACAGCCAAGCTAGGAGACAACGACCTTCCTGCTCAGAAAAATGGCGCTGGGGCAGCTGATGTGGAGAAGGGTAAAGGAGGTGTAACAGATAATCAGGCTACCAATCCTGAAACGACAGAGGGCGAGCAGGTTGCTCATGCAGCTGCAGATGTTGTCACAGAGTCCATGGACGCCCGTGCCGAAGATGCAGGAATGGAACAAGACATGGAGCTGCCTGCTAAGCCAGAACTCAACGGTATAGATCCGACACCTACCAACCCCATTGGTATAGATGAAGAGATGCCTTACAAAGCACGGCCACCGAATCCACAGAACGAGGCAGATGTCCAACTTGAGTCAAAAGCTGACCCACTACCAGCCGACCATGCAGCAGGCCCAGCCTCGCATGCCGCTTCCGATGCAGACGATGCTTCTCCACCTCCGCCGCCACCTCCACCACGCCGCATTACTCGCGCTCTCGCCGCAAACAATTCCACCTCCCACTCCAACGCACCCACCCCGCCCCTATCCCCAGCATCTACCTCCAGCACCACAACTACCACAACCAGCTCTGACCTCCAAATCGACCCGCTCTACCTCATCCCCCCATCCTCCAACCCATCAACAAACATCAACGGCCTGCCCCCAGAAGAAGCCCTCGAAACCCGTCGTCTCTTGACCCTCTACATTCAAAAGCAAGAAGAGAGCGTCCGAGGCTACGAATCTATCCTCTCTAAACTCCTCACGGCACAGCGTTTACGAAATGAGGTGCTGGAGATGTGCAAAGCGGAAGAACATGTAGGTGAGCTGTCGGATGGAGAGGATTGGATCGACGCCGAGCGATGGGGGCTGCAGCCCGGGGAGCTGAGGAAGGGGAGAGATGAGGATGAGGATGTGCTGGTGGGAGAGGGGCAGGGAGACGGGAATGGGATGGGACATATTGGTGGTGTTGGGGTGGGAGGGAGGAAGGGAAAGAGGAGGGCGCGGAACTAGCCTCTCCATCTGCCTTTTGTGTCTATATTCGATGACGGGAAAGAGCTCGTTTCTTCTGAATTAGGCAATAGACCGCGATGCGGATGAGGATGATGATCGTACCCGTGGCCAGCTCAAAGTAGGGCAATCTTGTCAACAAGCAAGAATCGATGAGAAAATCATACAGCGCGATTCGTGGAGCGCGAGAACGTCCAGTACTTCTTTTGAAAGCGGATTCTCAGCGGTAGTATATCGGCAATCTCTGCCAGCTGTAATCGACTCGGTAGAGATGTCATTGAGGCGACGGCATGGCTCAATCAATAACATACAGCTAACTAGCCTATAAAGGCTGGAACGCGTTGGGAGAGTTAACTTGGTACGTCAAATTGACATGGCGCCAAGGTCAGCGCAAGCCCCATCCTCGTTTTGATTGGTTGATGATTCCTTAGCTTGCCAAGACGGCGGAAAATCCTGTCAAGACAATATCAAAATGTGAAATCGGATGTAAGGATTCCATGGATTCGACTCCTTTAATTACAGGATATGTATGATAAAGTGCTTCAAATTCAAATAAGACTTTCAACACGCTATCTAACTGAATCAATGAGAGCACAGCAATTACGAGTCCTGAACTGTGGGCCCCCGATAAAGTGGACAGCCAGTAATATGGGTGCCGAAAATGTGGGCGGACTGGAGAAAATCATCATGTTAGGATCACCACCAAAATATCCAGCCATCTTTCGCATGATCTCCTTACCGCTAAACCCAAGGAGGGTAGCCATGATGCCCCAGACATCATCTGGCCACGATGTTGATCGAGCTGTCAGTGAGTTCCATACCAAGATAAATGATTCAAAATCCGAAAGCAGTGGCTGTGAAGCCAACCATGCGACATGGAACAGGACAAACGCACGTTGCAAAAAGTCTCTAAAGAAGCTTTTAGAAGGCAAGTCGAGCAATTTGTATGCTTTGTTGCCATCCCCGTCGAGCTTGAAGTCCCTGTAGCGAATTATGCTGTTCCCCAGGCAGAATATCAGACCTGACTTCATGCCCAGCGCCGCTTCTGCCAACGTCCAACAACGCGTCATCCACTGTGAGGATGCGACCATTGCAAGAGCTTCCGTGATGGCCATATAGGCACTTTCAGCAGAAGTCAAGGCCTTGTCAATGACCAAAACAGCTGCCGCTCCTGCAAAGACGGGATAGATGCGTTCTATTGCCTGTTTCCGGAGCTTCATGAATTCCGGATGAAGAGCTGGAGGTATGCAAAATATGTCAAACCAGATATCGAACGACTTACGGTCTCTTGAATACACGACGAGCCTAGAATTGAGCAAACGGTGGAAAGAACAGCCTTGCCGTCTGCAACTCCATAGAAGCCTTCTCAAGGTAGGAGGCGAGCTTAACGAATTGACGTCGAAAGACCTTGTTCTGCTTTGGTATGACTATACCATCAGCCCAGACGTGGCTCAAGGCGATGTGACGTGCGGTCCGCGTCGCAGTAATAACCTTGAAGTTTAAATGACCGCTATCGTTCATTTCACACCTGATTCAGAGGGATACCGCCAGCTCTGAGGATTTTATTGACGTCCTCCATCTCTGGTCCTACTGCCTCGCAAGAGCAATCGCTTGTTAAGTGTTGAGCCTGATGCTGAACTAGGTCGACGTCATGTGCAACACATCTGGGGGCACTGCGACAACGCTGGTGATTAACCCCTAGAGTATCTTTGCCATGCAGGCATGTGATTGACCATACCGTAGTAAGACTGTATGTCCTCAGAAGTCTCAAGATTTCATGTGAGCACCAGCCATACACATCCATAAGTAATGCAAGAGGACGATATGACGGTGATAGTTTTGGCCATATAACAAGGTCAATTGAGAATCTGAGTACCAGATTCAAATTTGAGGCGCCGATATCGCTAACACATAGTATATCCCAGATCGACGAGATTAGGATCCTTATGGAGAAAAGCACTAGCATATGCATTGCTGTGCATGGCAGTCTGCAACGATCTAGTTGGTCACAGAACTTCCAACTTGCTATAGTCAACTGTCTGATGCGCTCGATACGTGCATCCCTAGCTTCCGTGGGCAGTTTGGAAACCTGAGCTCGCCATTGTGACATATACATTTTCAGCTTCTTGGAGTTGATTATCTATTCTTTCGTGGAAGGGTTGACGACAACGAACTCTTGAGAACTTGCTGCTACCCTGAAGGTGTCCCTGATAAGACCGAAAAATAGCCATGCTTGTACTTTGGCGACGTAGAGGTTGGCACCATCTAGATCCTGTACTTCAGAGAAATTTGGGGAATCTTTCCTATCGCTATCCACGATGTTATGTGCAACGGCATATGCGTAAAAAATCATCGTCCGCTTCGGCGATCTCACCAAGGAAGGGCACATCGTAGTGTCCAAAGAAAAACACTGGACATGAAGGGCACTGTTTTTCATCGGGCACTCGTAGGTGATTCATCGCATTAGGCTGCTGATAGAATCAGTCTTTGTTTTACCATGTCAAGATGGTGGCCGATTGGTTGTTCATTTTCTGAGATATCAACTACGTTGTATGTAGTCAGAAGGGTTTCATTCTCAAACTCTACTGTCATTATTCTCCTAAGAGTTTGAGATTATATATATATACTATATTTTAGGTATATCACAATAAGCAGCATCAATGGTTTAGTGGTAAAATGTAAGTTAATATGTCCTTCAGCTAGGTCAAACTAACAATTCAACAGCCATCGTTGCCAAAAAGATATCGATGGGCCCCGCGTTCGATTCGCGGTTGATGCATGTTCACTAATTTTTATTATTTTTACTCATAATGCGCAGAAAGTCAACACATGTGATCCACATATCTTCTTTTATTTTCTATTTTCTATTTTGGACTAGATAAATACACATAACTTGACCGACAGAATTTGTATGCCAAGAAGTGCCAATGGAATCGGATGCCAAGCAAGAAAAGATTGAGGAAGAGGGCGCCAAAGAGGGCCACAAGGTCGAGCGTCCGAGCTCAGCACAGATTGAGCAGTCAAAAGAGACTACTCTGGGAAAGAGAGGCCGTGGCAGCCTAAGGGGCACCAAGAAGAAGCGAGGAGGTGCAAAATAGGCGCTGAGACGACAGACCCTTTTCTCTTTTTTCTTGTAGGTCAGGATTCGCACCATTTGGGTGCCCTCGGCCGGCGTTGGATTCGCTTGCAACTTTCTACTTCTTAACCAGGCGGCTAAGTTGCAACGATTGTCCGGAGAGCTCCCCTACGAGGCATTCTGCCGTCAACACAAACATGATGAGGTCTTGAAATGGTTGAAGCAAGGTGTGGGCATTGAGAGACTGCGTCAATTGTTTCAAATCGGCAAGATCAGGACCACCAGTTTATGGAGAGCCTGTCGACCAAGCCACTCTCCAGCTGAAGGCCTCCAACCAAGCCAGTTGGTATATTCTCATCCTCACCGATGAAAGGATGTCGAGTTTTGGGCGGTCGGTATTCTGAGAAACAACACAGACTCCTAACACCCTTCCAACACTCCCCTATTAGCCGTGCAGTCCTTCTAAGGAGATAAAATTGCTCCAAAACCGCTCAAACAGGCAATCTATTTACTTATTACCGTGGAAACCGAGCAATTAGATCTAACGTCCAAACTTGGTGCGTTTGAGAGTCCATCCGCAGCCATCTCAGCTGTGGAGATGTAACTGAACGCAACAGTACCATCTTGAGCCTTGTCAACAACGCAGTAGTACTGTACGTTAATATGCTTTGTACGAGCGTTGAACTCAGGATTTACAGCGATAGCGATTACAGATTTTCTTTCTGCGGTCATGAGTGTTTGCCTTTGTTAAGGATAGCTAATCCCAACGATGGACGGACACCCTTATGCGGTGCTGAGGATCAGTATCAACGTCTGCCAGCATAGAGACACGAAGATCAGTCCAAACCAACGAGCTCTTTAGGATAATGGACGATTCACAAGCAATTCGCATGCATGCTACGTAGGACCATCACCTGCGTAACGTATACGGAGATCGTCAAATCAAACAACCAGTTAATTCATGGTATTCTATGGATAAATGTCTCCAGGAACAGAGTTCTCGCTTCCGCGTTGACTGAGTTATCTGACATGCACAACCACTAAGTGCTGGTTAAAGGAAATCCGGTGAGCAACCTTATTTGAGCTTAAGATCCACCAAACGTGCTAATTGAGGCATTGGGTACGGAGGGGATATGATACAGTGATGTCAGCAAGCTTGAGGAAGCGCTACAACTATCGCTCTTAGCAGGACTCAACACGTTATTGTGCAATCACTTAACATCGTCAGTTTGTTATGGAGCATGTCGAAGCTTGGGAGCAACATATGGAGAGACTGATACAAGCCGCAGCCGCGCAGGAAGCCGCAAATCCGGATACTATGGTGCTCTTCCCATCCGTACGGTGGCACTTGATTCAAACCTGCTTCTTGGTCTTAAACTTGACATACCAAAGCTGGCACAAAGGAATTCAATGCCGAGAACGGGTGAACCGTCCCCGAGCCCACGCAGCAACCAGACGCCACCAGCAATGTGAGGCTTCTGGCGAACAGAACAAAAACGCGTAGGCATAGTGTCTGATTCGAGCCAACCTACTATCAGCAATCCACTGGAAACCATATGCCGACACAGAAGCAATATCTGCAAGTTACACGACCGCCGTAACCCCTATTGCGTTGTCATGACAAGGCGAACACTGCTAAACGTCATCGAAACACAGGGCAGGGTACAATCATTTCGTGGCTTGCGTATACCTAGATCTTTGGGCGCGAAACAAGGTTGATCCGAAAAACTTCACAACAGGTTGTATATTTAAAAATATTACTAGAAAAGTCAATCATTCAAGGAGAATATACAGAAATGCCAGTCAAGTTTCCAAGATCACTACGCTCTACTTACAACGATGATCGAGGCTCCCATTGCTTCTGGATTATACTACGTTATAGACAGAAAGACACATCTATGAGGCCTCTACTTAGAGTCACTCACACAAATCTGATCTCCCTCATATAAACCAGCCTCGACTGGCTAACAACTCTACGCCTTCTACCATGCCGGAAGCGGTCTTCGCCAAGCTCATCCAGGATGCTCCTACATCTCCGTCGGGGCATTGTTCCGTGTGTGACGATCAATCACCCGTCTTACCCCGGTGCCGGAGCTGCAAGAGTACGAATGTCAGCAAGGCTGGCACAGGCGCTGTTGGAGTAGTAAGACTAAAGAGGAGAGGGTGAGTGGGGGCTGTTACTGAAGAGGTGGGACGTTGATTTCCACTGGACGAGCTAGGGCAATGTACCAGGACAGTAGAGAGCAGGATTGTTATGAGTTTGGCTTGTTTCCTGTCTACCAGATGCAATAATGCCCAACTTAGCCGTTTTGGAATGGGGCCATTGTGTACATACTGTCTGTGAGTGGGCGGGTGGGTGCGACTGTGAAATCATAAGGATACCCAAATGTATTTTTCTGGTCTTCATTTCTTGGTTCTTGTTCTTGCTTTCGTTCTTCATCATTGCGCCGCTCTATAATGATACTTTGAGTCAAGCTTGTCAGTAACTATCATGATCAACAAGCCCTAGCTGACATTGAAAGAATTGATAGGTCGTGAGAACAGTAGCGAAGTTGCTACGAGGTCAAGAATTGGACGACGCTGCCTAACACTATGCGACTTACCACAGGTCTCTTGTCTCAGCCGTCCACTTCTCCGATACCCGGTCCAGACGAACATTTGTCTGTCAATTCAGCAATGGACCAAACAGGGCTGTGGAATGCGTTAGACTCACAACGAGCTCTTCAGACATCCAGATCTTCTCTTTCGCTATTCCAGAACACAGCTCAGATCGACGTAGTCACCCTGTTGCTCCTCCTAGGCGAGAACGCAATTTGGAAAGTGGTTTGGTCGCGCTTCCAGTCTAGGCGGTCGCACCTGACGCACTGGTTATTTGCTGTCTCACCTGGCTGGACCCCACTGGCTGGGTCACTTTTAGCAGCCTTAGGTGGTGCTCTGCATGCGCCGAACCTCATATTTGAAAGACCTCCAGAGGGTGTTATCGACTCCAGCCTTATCTTGACAAACCTCAATTCAGGCGCCACTCCCACCGGGAATAACACCATCATACAAAACATTTGGTCCACCTGGCAAAGGGGTTCTCTGAAAGAGTACCACAAATCAAACAAGGGGCAGGGACTTGGAGATCCAACGCGACAAATTGGGATATTAGATGTGCGCCTCGACACGCTGCAGATAGAGAATTGGAATATGATTCTGCTGCAATCGATCTGTTTACTGATCCAACTCGGCGGGAGCTTCCTCGTAGGGCTTCTTAGAAGGAACTATGAGCCGTTCATAGTGTTCGCTGTTGCCTTCGCTGGGCAGTCTTTACTGATATTTTCGATAACGCCTCGACCGTCTCTCTGGAACAAAGCTTTCCGTGGCCATAAATCGCATCCAAGCATGCTCTATAGTTCATCCACCAGCCAAGGTTTTCTGTTCATCCGCTCTGCACGCCTCCACGGCCAGGCTGTCAGTCTGGAAGAATACACCTGGCCCATCCAAACCATGCGTACACGCGTTGACATGATTAAAATGTTTGCTGCTGGACTAGCTTTCATTACTTTGATACTTCAAGTCCTCCTCTTGGGCTGGACGCAACCCCAAAGTCGTGTTGTTTACGCGATCTTTGGCGCCTTCGGCCTGTGTGCTAATACTATAGAAGCTACCTCTCAGCCGCGTTGGTCCTCAGCATCTCACTCGGCATTCTCAGGAAAGGCATTCTGTGCGCCCAGGTCGTGCTCGACGATGGGTGCGGCGGCAAGACGTTTGTACCCCGACAACGAGAGGTTGGCACAGTCCTTGCGGGCGCTAGAACACTTGTTTGGGCGGTTGCTTTGTCCTACTTGCCGAAGCAGGATTGCAAGTTCTGCTGAAACTAATACACCATTCTGCAGCCGACGACAAGGTAGTGGAAGCACGGAAGTCAAGAATTGCGCGTCGCTGCTGGCAGACGCTGTGAAGCAAGAAGCCGACAAGCAGCTTCGGGATGGTTTGGCGACAGTTTCTTGCTATTTGAGTTCTGCGGAAGGAAATAGCCCACTCACAATGATTAATACCGCGAAGAGACATCCAAACCAGCAACCGTATCGCTGGGAAGTAGTGCCGTGAGCCAGATAGTTATTGTCAGTATTCAGAACGTTCAAAGGTTAGCGAGTCCCGTCTGAGATATGTACCCTCAGCTGACAGTGTTTCAAGGTATAGACAAAGTGAGCATCTGAGAATGGAAAAATATATAAAGACGGACCGCCTAGAACGAGACCACCAACATACAGTACTTACAAGTTAGTGCTGAGGAATGCCTGTCTCGAGGGATGCTTCGGGGTTATCCTGCAGAAGATTATAGTGCGCGTTCCCAAAGCTGATGCCTAGAGCGATAGGTAGTGGGTGCCAAAATGATAATTAGCTATTTTAGAGTACTGCCATCTTTGACCTTTAACAATCAGGACTTGCTCCACATTCTTGCATAAGCGCATCGAGGAGATAACCAGCTGGCATCGACCGCAGGCACGCCGAAGGCCGCGGAAGAAGAATACCTTATCCCTACGCGAATATCTGTTGGACTTTCATGCATTGCTTTGTCGTCACAAAGGACGCCCAGACTTCGGAATGGAAGCCTTCGCCAAAATGCCCTTTGCACAGCACTGTCGACGATTGAGTGTTATGAAGGGAGGAGCGGGATCCGGAACATAGAGAAGTCTTTTCCTCGCGGCAATGCTGGGAACAATCTGGCTTATGGAATGGGTTGGGCCAGAGTCTACTGTCTGCCCTGGGCAGACAGCAAGGCAACTGCCCGAAAACCGTGAGGTGTCCTACAAACAACTATCAAGTCTCTCGATCCTACCTCCGACATAACAACGTTGCAGCCATGGGTTTATCGCCTGGGCCCTTCACCTTCTTGGAGGACCGCCTCGTCGAAGTATTGAGAGAGGGTCAAATCAAGAGAGGAACGCGCCCAAATCACAATAGTAATATCTTTCGCTATTATGAAAGCGACGGCAGCAGCCTAGTAGCTCAACAATCGGCCAGATATTTCGCCTTGAAACTGTACTCTACAGCTCAAGATCCGAGGTCCCACTTAACTCAGCTCGATGCGTGCTTCGATCGAATAATATACCTAACCAGGTTCTCGAAATCAGCCTTATCTGAAAGCACTGTTAGTTCCCCGTCGCTTATGTAGGCGTCTTTAAACACGGCGAGAAAGTTTGATCCTTTGACACGCGCATGCTAATGTTTGGTGAGATCTCAGGTCATAGAGAGGGCTTGTCGTCTGCTATCTCAGTTGCCTGCCACTGCTCCAGATATCCTAGATGCGTTCCAGTTCGACACTACAGCTCTGCAAGAATACAGGATTCAAGCTTCGAAAGTCGAGCCCTTTAGCGTTTCTGCGCAGGATGGCTTTTGGAATAGTATTTTGGCGGTGCATTACGTGAACAGCAACGTACTTCGCATTGCTCTTCATGCTGCACGCTGTGACCTCGATGCGAGACTGTTTAAACCACATCTTCCAAGTGTCCTGAATGCAACAATAGAGCTCCTGAAATTAAGCTTACAGATATCATCTGAAAAGGGCAATCAAGGTACACTGTGGGTAGTGATATGTGCTTTCCTTTGGACGTCATGGCAAAGAACCTTGATGATCCATCTTTGGATGGGCATGGCCCATCAGCTCGATGAGGGCTTCGACTACAATGAGATTCGTTCGCTCATGGTGAAAGATCTGAGGATAATCCCTCAACTATTCAAGTTACGGAGCAGGCAGCAGCTGGAAGAATTGAGCCGCACGCCGTATCTTTGCGGATGGGCCTTCCAAAGTCTACGCTACGACCGAGCAAACATAGCAATGGATCTCAGGCACTTCCACGAGACATATAGGGCCTGCTTCGGAAGAAGATCGCCCATATGCAACCCAGGTCCAACGCAATGTGACGGTAGTTCATCGCATGCCTGCAAGCGATTCAAAAATACGGCTGTCACCAATCAGTTAATGCACGACCAGAAATGCGAAGGCGATTGCCAAAGGCTGTTTTGGTGCAGAGATTCATTCGTCAATGTTTCGGGAGCCAAGGCAGTTGACATCGTCACGACTGACACTACAACATTGCGGTACTGCAAAGTCAGCGTGAAAACACTCACAATATCTCATGTGTGGAGCCACGGCCAAGGGGGGAGACCCGATGATGGGCATCCAGAGGGAACGGGCTTCAATCTGTGTCTCCATCGCCGTTATGCCGAACTCGCCACCTTATTGGGCTGTGAGTCATATTGGATGGACACCCCATGCATACCCAGTGAGAAAGACCTGCGATGGGAGTGCATAATGAACATCACCAGCATCTTTGCCATGAGCGAAAAGACCATCATCTGTGACCGAGACATAATGGCCATGGACATCTCTTATCCCACAGTCCAGGTCTACGAGCGTATTCTTGCGACGTTGTTAGTCTGTGATTGGAGCATAAGAGCCTGGACATTGCTTGAGTCTATGCGCGGAAGAAGGGGACTCTACCTGCTCTGTCTCAATAACAGACATATCAGCGTGTGTGAGCTTCTAAAATCAGTAGTCGACAACGGAAGGATTGACCTAACCTCTTTGTTCCTCGCCAGAGGCTATCTTTTCCCGCCAGTCGACTTGGGCGACTTTGAACTCTTCCCTGGCCGCGTTGTCGAAGACCCTGCAGGTCGCCAGGTACAAAAGGGTTTCGTGAACATAGGCGAAGCTGCGGCGTTGTTGAGCCACCGACACGCCACGCGGGACGCAGACGACCTCCTGATCTGGAGCCTGCTCATCGGGGATCTAGAGGACGAAAGCCCAGTCGAGATGTGGAAACGGCAGGTCGACAAAGTGATTGCGACCGGCTTCTTGGTGTCAAGCGCACAAAGAATACAAGGCCACCCGGGACTCGGCTGGGCTCCATGCCAACCTACCGCTTCGCGACGAGCCAGTGACACCAGCCTCAGCCCCAAGACATATCCTGCCTATGACGGCGTTGAGACTCAGCGAGGCACCATCACCGCCCATGGATTGCGCGCCAAATGGCTCGTGCACGAGTTCCCTGTCGTTGCGTCTTCGACGGCCGCAGAAAAAGGGACGAAGGAGCTGCAAATCTCCAGTCTTCAAGAGCCAATTTCACGGATCACCTCCCGCTATCTTCTCGGATACACACGTGGTGCTCTGCTACAGGCTTTGCCTCGCAGAGGAGACCTACAACGAAACATCCCTGTACCATATCGAGGGTCAACCGCTCCTGTGATGGTGATCTGCGGATCGGTGGATGGAGCCAAGTGGGAGTGGAAAGACATCTATGAATGGGAGACGAGTGATCCGGTACCACACTTTGACATGAGAGAGATCCTGCTTGTTTGACCAATCAATTGTTCCTGAAAAGAGGACAGAAGCTGTGTTTGGGACAGCGTAGAATGTGCATTAATTCGAATTTTAGTTTTCATTGTTATCTGCTAGCATTAACTCCGTGGAAAGTGCCGAAGCCCGGCCGGCCTTGGGGTATACGAGACTACCATATTAAGCACAACTATTTCCTACAACTGTACGAAGTATCAGGCAGAAGTAATGTTAGCTCGAAGCTAGTCACTTTAATGCGGCACAGGTACTGAACATAGCCACCAATATGATAAATGCTAAGCAGTATTAATTAAAGTATTTTAGATGGATGATCACTACAGAAGCTTCTGGAAGAGTGTTACGCGCCTTGCAGGGCAAAGCAGGGTAGCCTGCGCCCTGCTAGGCGGGGTGGCATGCGCCAACGATAGGAGCAATTGACGTACAAAGGCGCCAAAATGCACATAGATAAGAATCTACACACGCATTTACACATCTAGAACTTTGGTTTTTGTTGCTTTCGTTCCTTTTCTACGCCTATTTTTACTTGCCTCAGTCCCTCAGACACGTGGGCTTAGTGGGCTGCGCCACACACACACGCCATGCTCGAAAATAGGCTAAATCGTTGACTAAGCAGACATTTGGCGCCAACGTTGACTTAGTCATCGTCCAAGCCACATAGCACGGCTGAGAATGAACTGAGGCAACTTTTTACATCAGGCTGTGGCTGTCTGATAAAGAGAGTGTAGCCATGTTATTGATACTAGTCGTTCTTGGCACCGTGCTAACATTATTTATGCCCTCTTACCGTAGTAATACTCGTACCTACCTACTACGGCTACCGGCCTGATTTTTGTACCCCGCCCCCTGGTCAAAATATCTTACAAACATGTTTTTTACATGCCCCACCCTGTCAGCATCCCTGTTACTGTTTTACACGAATTTTGCTCTTTCTGCAAATTCTGCACATTCTACTCTGTACTTATTCTGCTGATTAACTGTAAATAAATACTGATAAGCCTAACGAGCTACAAGCGGCTATTAATGCTTTATAGGATGCTGTGTCTTTTGATTACCCTTAAGAAGCTGCTTCAGTAGATGCAGATGAGATGTTAAGCAGTTACAGATGCCAATGGAATGTAGAAACTTAACTTTAGGAACTAGTCTTATTTAGGCCATTCTATAGGCGTCTATACTCAATTCCACATAGTACGTTCGGTACAGATACTAATGTTTTCAGCAGTTGGTGGGGTACAAAAATTAGGCCTGTGGCCGTAGTAATCATCTAGCTACCCCAAGACAGACCGGAGATAGGGGAAACACTTGATCCTCACTCTGCAACAACGAAGCCAGATGAACGTGGCGTGTAGCTTGTCTTGTTGAGTCTGCAAAAAGAGGGCTGCAGACCTGTTAGTTGGATGACTGCCAGAACTGCGAGGTGGAGATGTTTTGACCGCTTGGTCGGAGTAAATGACACACGATTTTGACTAGCCCATTAGGCCCGATGCTGGCTTGTGATGTCTATTTTCATTAATACATGCTTCGTTTTGTACTCGGACTTAGGCCGATGCTGGCTTATGATGTCCATGTCAATATATATGCTTCGTTTCATAGTCGGACCGTGTCTCGGTCTGCCTCAGAACACACGGATCTGGGTCCTTCTGTTACATGTCTTGCGTATGTATAATTGGATCGGAGCGAATAGTTTTCCAATCCGCAAGGTAGAAACTTTGGTCCAGCGATCCTGGACCTTGATATGATAAACCAGTGGTCAATTGAATCAAGCCTCATAAATGGACCCGTGGTCGCCCCTCGCTTCGTCCCAAAAGGATTTCTCGCCGGCCGGGACTCGCATCCCTCCGGGGAAGAAGACTGGTAATAGTGAGACGCCAACCCTGGGGTACTGCTGCTCTGTTTTGCGCAAGACCGAAGACACGCTCGAGTCGGTGATGGTGTTGACGTGCCGGAGATGGATGCCCAGGGCACTTGAGGAGCGCTTTGCGCCCGCTGCCACAAGATTCTGGACCATGCCCAGTGTGCCGACAGCGAGGAGATCTGCAAATAAGCTTCGTCAGCATGACGTATTTTATGGCATTGATATGAGGATTTGTTACGTACACCACGTGTCTTCTCTTAGGCCTGCCACCGTGATGAGCAGCATCATAGACAGCGCCGCCAGTACCGTCATGCAAACCGGAGTCAGCGGTGGCGGAGCGGCGCTGTTGCTCCTTGCAGCCATCATTTCCAAGTCCAGGCCGCTGGGGCAGCCGTGGTCCTTGCCCAGAATCAGCATGACGTGTCGACTTCCGTTTCCACGCGTGATGCTGACTGTCCAGCTCCCAGTCCGGTAGCTAGAGAATTTTTCCATTCCCCATTGGGGCACCGCACTGGTTAGTAGGGTCAAAGCAGCGCCGCTGAGGGTGACCACGAAGGGCATATAGTTCATTGACAGAGCCCAGGGAATGGCGGCTACGCCCATCTGGACGAAGATCGCGGCGAAACTAAGATAGTCGATCCAGTCCCGAATAGGACGGCCAGGCGGACGCGTAGGATCGACCTCAAAAACGGTGACGCGAAGGGCTTCACGAGATGCTTTCTCATGGCCAGGCCCTTGTGGTCGGAACCCATAAACAGCAGTCCCAATCGCTCCCTTCGTAGAAACAAAGGGCAGGACGCTGCCGCTGGTTTTCCCCGCATGAGGTTGTTCATTACCCTGGGAGTCTGCTCGATACTCAAAATCCCGTAGAAGCCTGCCAATGACCCACGCTAGATTGGTCCTCTGGTGGCCATTCGCATTGATGACCAGCGCCGAGATGTCAGAAATCGGCATCAAACCGCCATCTTCTCATTCCGACGAAGACAAGTTAGCATAAGTTGCACTTTTCGTCTAAAAGAAATCTCGGCATGGGATCATTCCACGTACCACCAAAGACAGACAGAAGCGCGTTGATGGAATATGCCACCCAGCCAAAGGAGAACGCGACCGGAGCAATCGGCCCGCCAACTAATTGAGCAAACGCCCGTTGGATGATACCAGGGCTGAGGAGGAGAAGAAGGGACAAAATATCACCAGGATTCTGCCATTGGCGTACAACATCATCGCCTATGGTCCTTCCCTGCAGAAGCATCACTCGGGGTCAACCAAACGGCAATGGAAAAAGTGATGTAAGACCGGTTGAAGCTTCGAAGATGCCGGGGAAGACAACAATAGTTGGGGGGTCGAGTCAGCCCTATATATTCGAAAGGATTATTGACCTCCATCGACAGGGCTGTGAAATCCTACAGGGTATTTGAAGAATCGATAGCTGCCGTGGAAGATTATGCCCTAAGCTGACGGGGTTGACGCCGCAACAAGCACTGGTAGACTAGTTAGTATTGTTGGGTTGGCGGCAAAGATTTTTGACGGCGCCGCCGCATCCAAGTCAGAGGGAACTCGTACTGTATCAGGGGCATTGTACGGTGTAGAGGGTTTCACGGTGCATCTTTCAAACTTGGTTGCAACTTCGCCCCCTGTTACTTACTTACCACCGTGATAAGGTTTAGTGCAACTGAATGGGGATTGGAAGCATTGCAGGACGCTGAATATTTCTGTGTGTCTATGATCCACCAATGCATGGAGGGTGTGTTGGGACATGAAATGGATGTAACGTTGGCATCACCAACTCAAAAATACCAGTGCGCAGGTTTATGCCTGGTACCGTAGTATGAGGGCGGGACGGAGGCCTTGAGCTTATTTTGGCAGCTTCCACAGCCCTCCGGCCTCCAAAATGACCCCCGATCACGCGTGCGCGGGCAATGCCTCAATTAGCATATAATTTATTTGGAAGGGTTCCTTCCCCTACTAGAGGCTTAAAAAGCTTCCATCTCAACAGCCTCTTCTCCCCATAGTTAAGGACCCCACAACCTCTCAATTTCCCAGAAAGTTTGAAATGCCAGCGTCAGGCATGTGATATGAATAGACAGGGCTTTGGACGTATGCTACGTATGCTTGCACACTCAACTTGAATTTTCACGGTTAGAAAAGCATGACTTGCATCTCTACCTCTCAGATTGAAGAGTGATGCTTGACCGTTCCAAAATCTGCAATGAGTCCTTTTTAAGGATCTGTATTTGACGTAACTGGTTCAAAGTCGCCATCATCAGATTGCTTGCGGCTCCTTTTCCGGGCTTTTGTCCTCTGATAACAGGTCATCGTCTGAATTGGTATTTGAGGATAATGAAAGCGTTGATGAAACCCGTGGACGCTTTCTCTGGATGGGTTTGGTAGTAGGAGAAGAAGCATCTCATCGTTAGATGGAAATGGACAATGCATGATCGGTTGGAGACTGTTATTGATAATGAAGGGTGAGTGACTGCCTATTGAACTCTCTGGCGCTTTATTTGGTGAATTTGAGGTGTCAACGTTGACTTGTGTAGATTTGTTACGGCTGTTAGTTATGAAATAGAGGTGTTTTGGATTTGGCGGGGATCTGCTTGGAGGTATATGTACAGAAGTCGAACAAATATAAAGTGATGATGCAACCAAATTCCTATGAGATGATTTCTCGGGAAGATGCAGACTGGACTTTTAGGAAATCACCCACCACTTTTTTTACAATACGTTCTGCAGTACTCCAGATGGCAGTCATATCTGTCTGCAGTGCCTCAGCATGTCGCATCTTCTGCATGACTGTGCTAGGTACGTCGCCAGTCTCGCGGCAGATAAAGACTCGCGAATGGAAGTTTGCGTGTATGAATTTTTCGTGTTCAGCTGTGATAGCCACCAAAGCACCGGAAAACACGTCTCTGTCCTGCCAGTTTTGTGTGTCGACGACGATGGCCGGGGAGTCGATTAGATGGGGGCCGTCGTCCTGCCACGAAGCGCCTCCGTCTTCCTTCTCACCAAGATTCCGAATTCGATAGTCGCACTCGTCGTTTTCCACATTGAACCAACAAAAATCTTGTAGCGGAACTCTCACTGTATCAAACCTCAGGCCTGTAGTGGTAGTCACGAGACCTTGGGTTGTCTGCACAGCGCCAGTCGAGGTAGAACATGATGGCAACGAGAAGCTCTTTAGCGGTATTAATGATTGCGGTGCCCAGGAAAAGTGCTCTTGTGGCAATCTCGGACCAGGGGCAAACATAATCTCGAGTGGAAACGTCCTGACCATTCTCAAAAAAGTGGGCATACGCTCCAGCGGCTCAACCTTCTCGATCCTTTCTGCGTCCAGATCGAGCAGAATGCTCAGGCATATGGTCTCATCTTGCTGCCAGCTAGTCTTACGCCACTGTAGAGCTCTTATCAAGTCGAACAACTGCTCGCCATTGAGCTTGCTGAACTTTTGAAACGAGGCAAAGCATGACATGACGTCTCCCGGTATAGGTGATGCGAAATTAAGTACAAAACTTTCCCAGAGCGTCGATTCCAGAGACTTAAGCTCTATGGCTTTGCTGTCAAATTGAAACAGCAGCCGTTGTGCCAGGGCACCCTCCTGTAATGTCCATAAACGACACATCCAGTCACAGCAAGTGATGTGCATCATCAGATCCTCTGGTTCCGCATCGCAGGAGGTTCCTTCGAGCTCCGAGTCCAACACGAGGGCCTGCGTCGCATCCTCATAAGTTCTCCTCATCCGACCAATGGCGACTCTTCTGTTAGGACCACTGATTGGAACGCATAATGTGTCAAGCCAGAAGTAAGAAGTCTCTGCCTGGCAATCGTCGAAAATAGTCTTCAAATGAGTAAGCTGGCATAGTGGTAATGTATTTGCGGCCAAGTTTCCTCGTCCAGCTGCCCACACATGGGATACTGCAGTGTACTCAAAATTGGTCTCTGCAGCATCCTTAATTTCGATTTTGATCAGCCTGTGAGAGTTCTCATTATTCGTGGCGATCCTAATCACCGGAACTCCCCCTCCATCAAGAATACTATTCACTTGGTCGATATCAGGCCCCTTGTGTTCACAGTCTTTGCCGCACAAAGGTGCCGAGAAGAATAGCGATCTCTGTCAAGATAGTTGACATTGCATCGGAGCTCAACACAGCCGGAGTGGTCGTATTCCGGACCGGCATTCGGGAAGGCGAGTGAGCTAGCGAAGTACATTCATGAGTTTGAGAGCATCCTTCTGAGTTTGCTAACTCGATTTGGACACCAGGTGTCTTGCTTCATACGCACAACGCGCGATGCCATTACTCAGGTATTGACCTCCTGCGTAGAACGTTTAGAAAGCAAGTTGTTCTATCCATTGTCGAGCTTGATGAGGGCCATTGGCCAGTTTTGATGCGTTAATGCCTGTTTCTGCCTGCGTTATATTGGTCGGGGAGTGCAATCTCGGAGCAGGATTCTGCTGTACCGTAAAGCCTGTGCCACTGCATCAGTCCACTCCCTTGTTATTACTCGGTGCCGTGGAAAGTGCGTGTTAACTAGTAGAGGCCACTGGGACGAATTGAGTATACCATTCCAAGGTTGTGTACAATACCAAGTTGTTGAAGTGCGGTCCGGGTCTAGCATTTCCTCTCACTGTAGCCAATGCCCGCTAGTGCATCTACTCTGCTTCGTCCTATTTTCCTTGGTCAGAGTAAATACTCCCTAGTTTATTGATGATGGAAAGAGTCAAGGCATGGTCCGAGCCAAGTACTGTACTATGAAGTCTACTTGCAGAAGACCACGATTAGACGCCACTATTAGTGGGCTTGCCCAACTCGAGGTAGAAAAGCAAATCAGAGACGGAAACACGTTTTGGCGAGTATATAGGGCTATGCATCAGTACGTGAGATGTATTTCCAAGTGTCTGGAAAGGCCCTGGCCTTACTAAATGTTGAGCCGCAGCTGGGAATCCACGGAATATTCCGCCTGTGGAGCCGGCTCCAATGCGCCGACCAGACCGAAGGACTCATGCCAATATTTTTCGACTGTCCGAGAAAGGGCAGTATGTGCTCAAGGGTGCTCTTCATTTACGTACACCTTCACAAACTCGTCAGCACATCTTCACTACCCTGGTTTCCCACTCGTGAACCGATTTGTTGGTTTTAGTATCCTTATCGCAGCAGCATCGTTCACACCTCTTCACACTACACCAAGATATCTACATCTGATTGCGCAAAGTCTCCAGTCAAGATAAGAAAGGGAAGAAGATGGCGGAGAAGCCGCTGGGTTTTGGGTATCAGGTGGGAGCTGGTGCGATAGCGGGAGTGTCTGAGGTTAGACTCTTACATGCAGGAAGGAGAGGGAGGAATGAACAAGTGTGTGCAGTGGGCTGACAGATGAACTTTCTTGCAGATTCTACTTATGTTTGTCATCCTCCTTTCTCAACTGAGCAGCAAACAAACCATTACGAACACAATCAGGAAGCACTCTCACTAATAGGGTCAATCTCACAGGTACCCTCTAGATGTGGTTAAGACAAGAGTGTATGCACAACCTTCTTTACCTTCAAACCCCCACCCATCCCAAAGAGCTCTACTAAACAGATGAATCTCTCCAGACAATTACAATCCGGCAAAGGCCTAGCAGGCCAAGACCACTACACGGGCATGGTGGACTGTTTCCGCAAGATCGTGAAGAACGAAGGCTTCTCGCGCCTGTACCGTGGCATCGCCGCCCCGATCTGCATGGAAGCGCCCAAACGCGCGACCAAATTCGCCGCCAACGACTCCTGGGGCCTCTTCTACCGCAACCTATTCGGCGTCCCGAAGGCAAACCAACAACTATCGATCCTCACTGGCGCGACAGCAGGCGCAACCGAGGCGTTCGTGGTGGTGCCCTTCGAGCTTGTGAAGATCAGGATGCAGGACCGTGCTTCTGCGGGGCGGTACACAGGCGTGATGGACTGCGTGGTCAAGACGGTCAAGATGGAGGGTCCCTTGGCACTGTACAACGGTCTGGAGTCTACATTGTGGCGGCATATCCTCTGGAACGCGGGCTACTTCGGCTGCATCTTCCAGGTGAAGAGCCTGATGCCGAAGCCGGCTCCGGGCAACAAGGCGCAGGCCATGGGGACGGACTTCATGTCCGGCGCGATTGGCGGCACGGTGGGCACCATCCTCAACACGCCCATGGATGTCGTCAAGTCGAGGATCCAGAATAGTCCCAAGATTGCCGGAAGCGTACCCAAGTATAATTGGGCGTGGCCGGGCCTGGCGACGGTGATGCGCGAGGAGGGGTTTGCGGCGCTGTACAAGGGCTTCTTGCCTAAGGTGCTACGGCTCGGGCCTGGTGGGGGCGTGCTCTTGGTGGTGTATACGGGCGTCATGGACTGGTTCAGGAAGATGCAGACGACAACGGCTTGAGCTGGGGCTGTTGGTACTATACTGTGCTGTAATGTACTGCGTCTTCTCTTCGGCAAATCTGGGGTATTCTGCCCCTTTTCTGCTCGGCATCTTTTCTGAGATACCCCAGCCTTACTGACAGCGCTTGCATTAATACAGATAGATCCTGTTTCTATCCGGAGGTCGATTGTCGCTGGATTCGAGTTCTGCAGATCAATAGATAAGGTGCTAATCTTGTACATAGTAACTCAAAGCAATAAGCCTGCAGTAGCCCAATAGATGGATAGAAATTTCCATAGTCGTGAACTTATGGGACTTTTACTCTGGCAGAGACGTGCTGAACTTCTTCTGTGGAAATGCGTTTATTCTTTGAATTTGTGTATATCCACACGATGGTAATATTCTTGAACTAGGTTTTAATACGTACAGTGGTAGAACCAGAATATCCTTCGCCTTGGAGACCGGTCTCCTCTGATCACAACGTCAGACAGCGCCATGGAGCAGGTGTGTACTAGACTGGAAGGCGCCTGCTCCGGCTGGATAATCTGAAGGCCTTTCGGGACTCTGCGGGTGCGAGGCAATTTGAGTGCCCTCTTTGCACCCGGCATTGTTTTGGAGCTGCACAAAATTACCAGTATTGATAGCCTCTGTTTCATAAGCCTCTGTTCATAACCCTTGCCTTTCCCATTTTCTTGAAACTGATCCCTTTGAACGACGAACAGCTTACCAGTAGGGCTCTTGCGTAGTGTCTGCAAATGCTTGGATCTGGCGTTTGTCGGCCTCTGCCAACACACGAAGCCTTGTCTTCATGTCTTCAATTTCCTCCTTTTTCCCTTCGGGAAGGGGTATTGGTTCTACTGCTGCCCTCGGGTCCTTGCCTTTCCACAATCTCTCCAAGCGAGCAGGCTCGTTCATTCCAGGCACATGGAACTGATGTAAGAACCAGCGTAGACCTCCAATGGTTGGTGGGACTTTTTGTAGTTTGGAAGACTCACATCTGACGGATGCATGAACGAATGCAAGGGCGAGCTCTGCCCAGCTAAGAGCCGCGTCCGACGTTAGACTTACTGGAGGCTTGCGAAATTCGATCGTCCTTGGGAATGATTGTAGGCCGAGGAAGTTCCAAGCGTAGTCTCTGTCTGTGCCAAATCTAAAAGGTTGCATCAGATCTACCAATTCACGGAGATGAGATACTTTCCCGATGGCAGCAATAGATTCATGTCGGGTTAGCCCTTCTCGCCCAAATCGATGACCGTCAAGCCAATTGCTCTTAGCGTACTCATTTCCCCTACGGTCAGGCGGCATCAAAGCCTCGAGAGCGGTCTCAAAGTGAATGACGGCCTGAGCAATTCGCTTTAAATCTTGCAAGCTGTACTCTGACTCAATTGAAATATGTATGTGGGTGGCACAAAGCTCAGTTCCCAGAACATTGTAATAAGACCGAAGAAATTTCCAAGCCGCTTCGACATCTTTTCGCCATGTTGAGAAAGGAAAGGCTTTAAAGATAGGTGATACCAACTCCAACCCCCCTGTGAAAGTACATCAGCTATGCATCAGATGAAATCAAAAGCACTCCGTACAGAATAGACTCACATGGTGAAAAGAGAGAACTCATAGTCGCATCAAGGACTATGCACCATCTGTGATAATCACCATCGAAACTATACGGTCGGAAGTCCGGGCGCATTCGAGGATGTTGCTGTGGTACCTTTGCATTGTAGCTCTGTGTAAGAAAAGTGACAAAACTTGTCACGTCGCTTTCAAAATAATCTGTGACACGTGAAGCAAGGTAGAATTCTGTTTCAATACCAAGGTTGATGGTGCGGATTTCAGACGCCGGATGACTTGTTGAAGGCCCTGCGCAGTGCGATACACGCGCCAAGTCCCCAGGTGACTCAAGGTGTTGTGGATCAGTTGCTGTCTCTGATCGTTTCTTGTCCTCATTGATGTCCACCGGGGGTCTATCGCTAGTAGTGGGTGGTTGCGAACCATTGGCACCTGACGATGGTGGTTGACTTGCAGTCTGTTGTTCTTTGCTTGTGCTTGTTGGTCGCCTATAACTGGTTGACCAGGGGCCTACATTTGATGGTGTACTCCCTGCGTTTGTAGTGCTCGGTGCTCGTGCTTGGCTAATTCTACCAGCAAGGTGAGTTTGCGCTCTATCTTTAGTCGATTTCTTGCGTCGTGCTTCGAATTCCGATTTCGAGAGCTGTCTGCTTGGAGCTGGCGATGCTACCGAGCCAGCCGCAAAGGTACAAGTGGGGATAGGGCGAACGCTCTCGCGCTGTAGCACCCTTTCTGTCAAGTTTGAGCCCTCTGTACCAGCAGCCCGAGGGACAGCCCGAGGGACAGCCTGAGGTCCAGCTGTTCGTCCGGTGGGGGCCCTGAGGTGTTTTTCCGTGTTAGCTGCTATAGAAAAAGCGGGAGACATCTGCAAATGGTCTATGTTCGGCGAACAACTGGGCGGGGCCATGCTAGTGCCCTCTTTAATATTCTTGCATCTTGTATTATATTTGTTGATCTCCAGCCGTGAACTTGAAAGATGTCTGTGGTCTGGCAAAAGTAAGTAGCGTGGAAGAACAAACAGAAACAGTCCTTTGGGAAAGGTATGAAAAATAGCATTAAAGAAAGTAAAAAAGGGCAGATTTTGGAAAGAGATCGTTTCAGATCGAGAACTCAAAACTGTACGACGCTCTGAAGAATACCGGGACGGTGATTGAAACTCGATAATGACCACAACACCACCTCTTCTGAAACTGGGGGGTGGATTCACAGAGATACGAGCTAAAAAGTCATCGAGTAGGTCACCATGTCGGCGAAGTCTGCGTAAAGACTTAGAAAGGGAGCGAGATCTGTGCCGCTTCCTATGATATATACCTAATTGTGTTAGAAGTGGTGAGATTGAGCTGAAGAAGTGCATCACGTGGTTTTAGATCATGTGACCGAGGACTTACTATTATTACATAAGTGGACGCGTCGCGTCGTCGATTCTTGCCAAGGCCTACAAACTACTACTTACTAGTTAGTACTACTTTCAAGGACAGCGTGAGCGAGTACTGCTTGTCAACAAGGCAGCTCTCATCGGAGAAGACGATGCTCCTGCACATTGATGTTCCACGTCTCAAGCTCGGACTATGGTGGTGGTAAAGAATCCCGAAAGACCTTCGTAATGCCCTCTGCTCCCTTCTCAATCTCGACACAATCTAGAAACAAGCTGCAGACTTACATCCTCGAAGCCAACCCCATCGACAGTCAACAAGTGGACGACAAGGAAAACATCAATGTGGACTTATCCAGATGTGCCTCGCTAGTAGGCTCTCAGAGACTCCATGATGACGCCTTGCAAAAGTCATCCCCTCAGCTCCCGCCATTGTCCTCCGAAAAGCCATGTCCGCAAACCCCTGCGAATAGAATTCCACTGGCCGACTTGATCGGAAACACCGAAGACGCGTTCAACTGCAATCCGAAGGACACGACTCCCGAAGATCACATCTGTTGGCAACATGGCCCTACTCCGCTAAGCTCGATTCCTTCGGCTACCGCCAATAGTACACGAAGAGGGAAGAAGCGCGCCCGAAGCTCGTCACCAACCACTTCTTCCCAGAATCAGAAGTCGACCCGCTCCAACGCACAAGAAACCCTTGATCTTAAAATACTCCACGAATCTCTCAAAACACCACAGAATGATCCAGCGCTTGACCTTTGGGCTCGCTACACAGATGCAAGTCTGACGAAGAAAGACGCTGATGGAAATGCTTTACCCGCCTTTGCGCATTTGATGACTTCGTCTCCACAAACACCAAGCACTGCAAATGGTAAAGACGGCGGGCTGCGCAGGTCGATAAGCTGTGGCATCGAATGGCCAGTCTCAAAGGCAAAAAAGCGCAAATTGAACCAAGAGGCAGCAGAAGGCAGATTGAAAGACGTGTTCGAAGCATCCAAAACCGATATCATCGGACCCAAGAAGTCTAAAGCGTCACGGATAACGCTGCTGATGGAGAAATTACAAGAGAATTCTAGGAAAGTCCCTCAAATAGAAGTTTCAGGTCCATCAAGTTCCTCACCACTTCCAGATCGCATTGGTTTGTCCACTGTACCGTTGTTATCTCCTGTTTCAAGGCGATTCGCGGCTCAGCAGGAGTATGATGAAGCTGTAACGACGGAAGGGAATGGCCAGACTATGCATGATATGCCTGCACAACAGCATGATGACCCTGGCAGTCGCTCATCGGAATTTGGAGATGAAGATCTAGCACTTGATGTCCTCGAGGCTGTCGAGCAATCCGCGGGCACTCAAGTAGCCTTGTCTGCCACTGGAAAACAGGGCTGCGAGAGCCTCACCAGGATGGAAAACATTACGCGTCAGATACATGCTGGGCCCGGTCATCAGAGTAGCCCCCCACAATCTTCGTACAGACGTTGTCCGGAGATACTGCTACCACGATCAGAGGTCCAGGGCGGAGTGGACAACAGAGCAAGTGCCAACGTAACGCCGAGCGCTTTTAATGGCGATGATGATGATGACGAATTTGGAGATGGGAGTGATGACAATGGCGTTCTGGCTGACCTGGCGGCGCGGTTCGATACACAGCAAAGTACGGGTGATCCACCACGGCAGACACATGTGAAGCAAATCCTGGTGCAGCAAGATGTGGGTTACAACAACAATCCGACCACAGCGCAGGCGGCAGATGATGACGACGATACGTACGATGACGACGGAGATGATGATCTATGGAATCAGATCGGAGATGGGTCATTGGTCTTACAGCAGGAAAGTGGTGTGGCAACTGCAAGTCAAGTTCGTGTTATCTTATAACGGGGCACCAGACCTGGCGCTGATCTGTTTTTGTGTATAGAGTCGTAGCACTACCAACCGAACAATCAAACGTTATCTTGTTGTGGACGTAGCCGAAAGTCATTATCTGAATGCTAAAGGTCGTCAGCAACCCGAGAAAGTATGTGCCTCTCCCCTCGAAGAGCTGTCTGTGATGGCTTCCAATCCTCCTAAGACCCTCTCTAACCTTCTTAGATGCTCTCGGTGAAAGATGAGAAGACTGGGATGCTGAAGGTCATCTTGCTACGGCAAGCATGGTTGGACAGTCGATGCACCAAAGGGTCACATGTTCACCTGATCGGCCACTTTGATCATTTGGGTCAGTGTATTGTCGACGACCACGAAAACATGATCATCCTGCACCCAGATCATCTGATCTCCGCCACGGTTGTGGCCGACTCCTTCTCCTGCACCCGGCGCGCAGTACTGCAAGATCGCATCAAGGCCACCGGGGCTGCGGAACCCTCCCAAGTGTACGGCCACATACTCCACGAGATCTTCGGACAGGCGTTGAAGGCCAACGACTGGAGCTTAGAAAGCCTGAGCATTATTATTGAGAGAATACTCGTTAATTGGATTGAATCCCTGTACGAGATCAACACTCCAGTACCACAAGCGCTCGAATACCTGTTGAGTAAGATGCCCGAACTACAGGCTTGGGCAAGCGTTTTTGTCACTGCCCAAGCTTCTCCTCAGGGAGAGGTTCGTGATCGAAACGGTGGCATCTCAAATATGAGTGTGAACAAATTATTAGAGGTGGAGGAACATATTTGGTCTCCCATGTTCGGTCTGAAAGGCAACATTGATGCCACGATCCAAGTCACTTTGCAGGAAGCGAATGAGCCTCGCACACAGACCTTGACAGTGCCATTGGAATTCAAGACCGGGAAAAAAGACAACAGCGAAATGCACCGTGCGCAGACGGCCCTTTATACCTTACTGCTCTCGGATCGATATGACATAAACGTCACATGTGGAGTGCTTTACTACCTCGAAACTTCCAAAACCTTTCGTGTACAGGCGGTACGAAACGAGCTACGGCATATGATCATACAACGAAATGAATTGGCTTGCTATGTTCGGAACAAGCTTGAGTTGCCTCCACTGATCAGGAAGCCGTTTCTCTGCAACCGGTGTTATGCGCAGACTGCTTGCTTCACTTACCACAAGCTGATAGATGGAGGCGACGGTGAGACAAGCGGCTTGAAGGAGAAGTTCGAAAACGCCGTGAGCCATCTCAAGCCTGTACATCAAGCCTTCTTCCAGAAATGGGACGAGCTTCTCACCAAAGAAGAAAGAGACGCCATGAAATTTCGTCGTGAACTATGGACGATGCTCAGTGAGGAGAGAGAAGCCCTTGGACGATGTTTTGGTAGAGTCTATATCGAGCCCGGGTCGGTGGTTGGAAGCCCAGACGGACCCAAGATCAATCGGTATGAGTATACCTTCTTGAAGCAGACGCCCCGGGCAGGATTCTCTTTCGCAGAGTCCCAACTGACTGTCGGTGAACCGATCGTGGTGTCTGACGAAAAGGGCCATTTCGCATTAGCCAATGGCTACATCACCAAAGTCCGATCTACCCGGCTTACTGTTGCAGTCGACCGAAAACTCCACCAGATGCGGAAGAAATGCCCGGGCTTCAATCCTGATACAAATCAAGTCTTCCAGGGTATCATGGAGGTTCCCAATGACGAAGATTCCCGTACAACAGCTGTCACGGCCGGTGAAGTAGGAGACGCCATGTTGTTTCGCGTTGACAAGGACGAGTTCAGTAACGGCATGGCCACCGTCAGGAACAATCTCATTCGAATCATGGAGAAAGATCTCTTCAAGGCGCGTGAGCTACGACAGCTGATCGTCGAAGCAGCCGCTCCGAGCTTCAAGCCTACGTCTTCTGCGTATCCACCCGCCGGACCTGGGTCGCAACAGAACCTGAACGTCGATCAAGTGCACGCGATCGAGAAAGTGATGAGTGCGAAAGACTATGCGCTTGTTTTGGGAATGCCAGGCACTGGTAAAACCACTACCATTGCACACATCATTCGAGCGTTGGTCTCGCAGGGGAAGTCAGTGTTGTTGACCTCGTACACCCACACCGCAGTCGACAACATTCTCCTGAAAATCAAAGACGACGACATCCCCGTTCTCCGACTCGGCGCTGTTGCAAAGGTTCACCCTGAGGTTCAAAGCTTCGCCGATCTCGCCGGCATCCCCAAAAAGACGATTGCTGAATTAGAGGAGTCTTATGTGCACAGCAGAGTCGTGGCATCGACATGTCTTGGAGTCAATCATCCGATATTCAACACGCGCATCTTCGATTACTGCATCGTGGATGAAGCTTCTCAAATCACGTTGCCAACTTGTCTAGGGCCGATCCGAATGGCAAAGACTTTCATCCTCGTTGGTGACCACTTTCAGCTTCCACCTCTCGTGCAGAACAAGGAAGCCCAACAAGGCGGCTTGGATATCAGCTTGTTCAAAATGCTCTCCGAAGCCCAACCGGATTCAGTGGTCAACCTCGAGCATCAGTACCGCATGGCCGAAGACATCATGCTTCTCTCCAACACACTGGTCTACAATGGCCGCCTCAAGTGTGGCACACCATCCATCGCCACCCGCACCCTGTGCATTCCCAACCTGGGCGCCGGACTCGCAGCTCACCACCACACACCCGGCTCCTTCACCTCCTCTTCCAAATCGACATCTGTCTGCCTCCAAACCCCGACCTGCTGGATCCTTCGCTCCCTCACCCCCTCCTCCCGCTGCCTCTTCCTCAACACGGATCCACTCCTCCCCTCCTCCCACGACACCATCAGCGGCTCGCGCATCACCAACCCCCTCGAAGCCACCCTAACCACCCTGCTCGTGCAAACCCTCCTCAGCTCCGGCATCCCCGCCCGCTCCGTTGGCGTCATCACCTTCTACCGCTCCCAACTCGCGCTACTCCGCCAGACGCTGGGGCGAATCACCGACCTGGAGATGCACACGGCGGACAAATTCCAGGGTCGCGACAAAGAGGTGGTGATCTTGAGCTGTGTGCGGAGCAATGAGGCGAGAAGTGTCGGCGAGCTGTTGAAGGACTGGAGGAGAGTGAATGTGGCCATCACGCGCGCGAAGTCGAAACTGTTGATTCTGGGCAGTCAGGCGACCTTGGGCGGGTGTGGCAACGAGACGTTGGAGGGTTTGGTGCGCTTGATGGAGGCCAAGGGCTGGGTACTGCATCTGCCCCGCGATGCGGTCGAGGGGCATGTTTGGGAGGGTGCAGCGTTGGCGACGCAGACGCAGACGCAGCCGCACACGCACACGCAGTCCAGAATGCAGAAGAGCGATACTATGGATCAGCTGGGGACGAGTCCGAAGAAGAAGCGAGCTGCGAATGGGAGCGACCTGCTTTCTCCGAGCAAGAAGAGAAAAGTCAACGCGTTACCACCGTTCAAACAACCGACCAAGCGGGTCAACGGCTCATTGGCTCAGGCGGAACGAGTCTTGGGACGGAGTGGAATCATGCAGGATATTGTCAACGGCATGTGAGACCGGCGGTTCAAAGGGGTTGGGGAGGGGGGGACCTTGCGGATCTGGATAGCATCATCTTGGGTTTTTTTCCTTTACTGCGCTGCATTTCCTGGACTAGTTATCGTTATGGCGTAGCTGGTGAAAGCTGAGGGGGAGAGAAGTGGAAAACCCTTAGCGAACGTCTTTGCACCTCCTGTTTTTTTGGTCTCTTATGTTTTCTTCTTTTTTTTCTTCTTCCACCTTCCGTGATTTGACTTGATTCGAGCTGAGTTGGTGAGTTTTCTTTCCGGGTTCAGCGTTGGGTTGCACCGCCACCCATTTCTCTTCTCCTTTCAGCTCGCAACAATCTAGACTCCTCGGAAGGGAAGAAGCATCTAACTAGTTAGGGGCGCGGACCTTCCCACCGCGGCCAGCTGAACCGAATCTCTCTGGGCGAGTGGGTGAGTGATTGACTTAAATACCTGGTAGGCTCCGTTCCGTCAGGTACCCGAAAGTCAACCATGACCAGCCCTTACACGGGGGGGGGGGGCCGATAGGGTTTGATCAGCTATCCATGATGGGAAACCTGGTAATGAGATGTGATTATACATGATATTCAATCACAACGTGCCGATGACAACGTGCCCCCAAATCTTGCTGGACTGACAGTCTACATGGTCGTCTCTGAGGGCGAAAATACCAGAAATGCATCACCCGATTGCATGAAGGTCGTCATGCGCCAAAACGAACGGGAACGCCACCGCCAACGCTATGCCCATGAACCGAGTCCCCAAACCCTCAGGGAAAAAAAAAACACCCCAGATCCCACGCTTGCTCGCTGTTCAGATCCCCCCCCCCAAAGCCACTGAAACAACGAATCATCATCATCATCATCATCATCATCATCATCATCACCATCATAAAATGATACAAAGAAACCCACCATTCTCCCCCCTTCTTCTCCATTCTCTCCATCCCCACCTCCCCTCCTCAAACCCTCCCCAAACCCAACTCCCTCCTCATCCGCTCCGGCAGCTCCTCGCTCTCGCCATCCTTGCCCCTGCGCCTGATGCGCGCATACTCGGCCGAGGGTGAACCCCCAGCGCCGCAGGAACGCCTCGTGCGGCTGCGCCACCTTCCTCCGCTCCTTCTTGCTGAACGAGCGCGATTGGTAGGGGTTGTTGGGGGCCGGCCCGACCGTGGTGTGGAAGGTGAGCGCGCCCGAAGTGGAGGCGTGGGCGTGGTGCTGCGTCGAGGTGTGGGGCTGGCTGCGGGGGTGTTTGCGCGGGGTTTGGGTTCGGTGGTGGTGATGGTGGTGGGATTGGGATTGGGGGGGTGGGGGTGGAGGTTGTAGGGGTCATGGTGGTGTTGGGGGGTGGCCTGGGGTGTTGGCAGGGTGGTGGTCTGCGGATGGTAGGGGTGGAAGAGGTGGAGGCGAAGGGACTTGGGACGAAGGCGGGTGAGTGGTTGTTGTGGCAGCGCTGTGGGCATTGAGAGGACGCTGGCGTATTGTTGTTGCTGTTGCAGGCCTGGAGGAAAAGCCTGATAAGGAGGAGGGTAGGCTAGTGGCGGAATTGGCTGGTGCTGGAGGTTGCCGGCGTCTGGCAAGAGGGAACTATTGGTGGCACCGAGGGGGGTGAAGGGATTGACCAGATTGAAGTCGGTGTCTGGGAGGCCGCTGAGATGCTTGGCCAGGGCAGTAGTGGGAGCGGGAGCGGGAGCGGAAGAGGCGGCGAAAGTGTAGTCGAAATAGAAGGGGTCGCCGAGGGCATTAAAGCCAATGTTGTTGTTGAGTGGCTCGGGACAGTAGATGCCCTGTCTGGTGTTGGTGTGTTCCTGATGCTCATGTTAATCACTCTATCTTAGGGCTTATAAGCGTATTTGGAGGACGCCTTGAGCTTCAGCTTGAGCTTGATACTTACAAAGTCATTCCCGGCATCAGGAGAGCTGCTGCTCGCAAACATAGCAGGTTGATATGAGCTCGGATTTGGTATACCTGAGGGTTGATGAGGGGTGCCAGCAGTCTGGAAAATGTCAGAATTGGTTATATTGAATGTGTTGAAGGTGTTGCAGTTGCCGGAATTGTTGTTTGAGAACGCCATCGTAAGATATGCGGCTGGTCGGGTAAGTGATAGATATGGTCACAGATGAGAGTATCAGGCAGTCAAGTCACAGAATTTCAGAATGGGATTTAAAAAAAAGGGGAAAAGGAGAGAGAGAAGCGGCTTTGGTAAACGTCGAGAAGCACTAGGACCAGAAAAGATTGAGGTAGAGCTCTCACTGCAAGATCTGGGTATGTAGTCACAGTGGAGTTCGGGGGACCTTTGCGTTCAATAGGCTACCAGAGTGTCGAAATATTGAAAACATGCAAAATTTGCCAGTCCTCTTCTTCCTTGGCTAGCACCCTTCACATTGCCCTCGATAGTGGCATGAGTAGACGGCTCTCGTTCAGCTGATTCTCCCGATATTGATCTCGATGTCTCCACCTCAATGGTGTCGGCGTCCGCCGTGAGAACAATGCTGTAGCCATCTATGGCGTTAACCGCGGCTGTTGGGTAAGCTTGAACGGTCAGGGCAAGCCACGTGCTGGAGGAATCCACCGGCAGAATTTTGGTTTGAAAACTAAAGCGCGTCAGTCTCCTTTTTGTGGTTCCTGGCGAAAGGGGTGGGTTGGTAGCGTGAGTGGATGAGGCCCCAACGAGAACCTGGGCTTCCACCATCAAGCAAACTGTTGAGGGCAACGGCTTCGAGGCTGTACAGAGCTCGTGACAGCCCGTTGGGATTCTGGGCGGTCCGCTACCGAAGTGCAGGGTCACGCGACAGCAAGCTTCCGTGAGTGCAGATTGGAGTGCCGGGGTCAGAAGAAGTGTTTTTCGAGATACTCACATGCAACTGATGAGCAGCTGGGTGACCCATCCTAGATCAACCATGCCCTTCCATTGTAATACTCGAACTGATGTTGCATCCTCAGTCGTGCCTGATGGAAACGTCCACCTACACAAATAAGAGTCCATGCTATCTTTTTCCCTGACCCTAGCAGAATCAAGAGCCATCAGACCGAGCCATTCAACAACATCGTGAGTCCACTCTCCCACATCGGAAGTAGTATGATCCTCGATCACATCGTCAAGCCTCAGTTGTGGTACTCGAACAGCCGGGTTGTGCCTTCCTATTGGTGTGAAATCGATCATGGTGGGATGATGCTTCGAGATGGGCGGCACATGGTCGACTAGACGAGCATGAGCGGTGCGATCACTTGCAACAAGATGGAAAGCACACCTGAATTGCTATCATCAGCACTTCTTAGATGGTAGAAGAGCCAGGTGACTGATCTGTTCAGCACGTTCTTCGCTGCCCATACCACACGCTCGAAGCCCTTCTTTCCATGCAGCATCGAAGGCTGTCTCAGGTTGACCTCGACCACTGTTCCAACCTTTAATGAAAAGGGCTGATGACGAGACCAGACGCCCGCGACGTACCGTATCGAGCTTTGACATGCTTTCTACCGCCTCCCCGACATGGCTGACCCTGCAATCCGGCACGCTCGTATGCCTCCTTATCGAGCTCAAGGCGCAGTAGACCGCGGAGGATGAAAGTTACAATCACGATGGACAATAGTGGGAAGACGTTCGACCACCGTATGCCGCTATACTGGCATCACGATCTGGGACTGGACACCCAGAGGAGGCATACCATCTCGCAAGGAGAAGACATTGTCTACGCCCGGTTGACCCTCGGACAGCATGAGGATACTACCTGTACGACCAGTCAGCGCCGCCAAGTATAAATTGAATTGGATCCGTGGATCCGAGGAGCAGGTTGGGCAAAGCTGGGCTACTACAACGAGAAACAGGGCAAGTCCCGGCGAAAGAATCGTGCTCTCTAGCGAAGTCCGAGTTGGGTCTCATATAATGACCGCTATCAATTGCCTGACCTTCGGATGGTCCGAGGTCCGTAGCCATTCAACGAGAGCTGACACCTTCCGGACTTCAAAAAGGCAGGCGGCATATGGTCTGCCCATGGCAAGTTGAATCCGAAAAGATGCCCACAACGAAGGTGCGCAGGCCAAAGCCCTTGACCGCAAACCTGTGTCCGTTGGCAAGTGGGTCAGCGTTGCGGGTGCATCGAGACACCACGAAACATTGCATTGAGCAAGCCTTTTCACTAATGGTAGAAGACACTGGGACAAGGCGAATGATAAGTGCGATTCCCTTCTTCGTCAAGTGCCTCACTCGAAGTCGTGGACCTCTACCCATATGTAGAGGATTGCAAGGTAAGCCATTACGAACAGCTTCGTTGCTACAATGGCAGATATCGAGGGCACTGCCAAGCTTCGGAATCCAAATCGAGGTAATATGTCCATAATTTGGTCGAAATGGCAGAGATAGCCAAACCACCATGAGCAAAGGGTCATACTTGTCTTTTCTGAATTCTCTCTTTGCGATCGTCCTCAACACTTGTTCAAGGTTGATGTAGACAGCAAGGTCATGTGCAGCTTGAGCGTTTGCAGGCATAGCAGTTGCTGGAGACTTACGACCCAGGGAAAGATCTTAATCGCTACCTGGCCGCTCGGGTTGATGTGGCCAATGACATGACGCCATGTGCAATATCTTGGAACAAATCACAAAGTCATCTGCTTCAGCATGTCCATATGAGCTCGTGGCTCCGGTACTGCAGTGTTGAAACTCCATGGTGCAAACAACTTCGTCTAGTCACAGCAGGTCTTTTGTATCGTTGCAGGCCAGAAAGAGCATTCAAACCACACAACAAGATCCTTCATCACACAACGAAAAAGATGCCATTGGCTTACCTTTCTTAATGTACTCAGTGAAGAAAGCTCCATCCAGCACATCTTCCAACTTCATGATAACCCTGGCATATTTAACAGGTTTCAACTCCTGCTCGATTTTGGTCCATATGAGCTCGTACAACTCTTCAGGCAGGATCATCTCGACGCTCCTGACAAAGCTGACATCGTTGATCGCTCTCCACGGAAGTTTCTTGGTTGGTGGTTGGTTACGGTCGATGTAGCCGGGGAGCGTGCCAAGTGTGGTGAAAATTTTGGATTCTGGTCGTCCATTCTTCTCACCCAGGAAGTCAAGCATCTTGACGCGCGAACACCAGGAGAGCAGGGCGACAGGCTTGAGACTCTTCTCCTATCAAAAGAAGCGTCTTTCTCTCAAGGCTTCATCCGTAGTCACGAGTTCATGGTGTTGACGTAGGAAGTTTGGACGGGTGATTGTGGGTAGACATGTGTGTGCACACAAGGCGATGTCAGAATCCCTGCGTATATGATACGTATCTGTTACGTATTAGCATGATGGTACAAGGGTCCCCGCATGCAAAACGCACGAAACGCTCTTGTAACTGTTACGCCCTGTTATTTATGGCAGTGAGCATTGCTATACGAATTGAACGCCAAATGCTGTTTCTGAGCTGTTACAGTAATGCGCTTCTATAGCTATTAGTATGAGCAAATGCTCCTCTTGATAGGAGTAACTCAATCAAGTGAATTGGCACCTCCGTATGCTATTTTGCACCAACTTCTAACAGGCGAAAGAACGAAGAGCTGGCTAGAACATGAATCATATCTATGAGAGCTTACATCTCAGGCCTTTGTGTCCTTTGAGCCGCCAGTAAAATTTGAAGTCCAAGAAAGGCACAGGACAAGCTGCCGCTAGCAGACTGCCCAGTTTGGTCTAGAATAGAGCTTGGCACTTCTTTTCCATGTACTAGTACTATCCCATGCGCCGGCAATTAAAAGTGCCTTTTTAGCGCCAAAATATCTTGGCACTACCAAAATTGAGTAGAAAGCAACAGCAAGCAGTTATTGGGTTATTTGTGATGGATGGAGTATCTCCTCTGCTATGGCGCAGGAAAGACACGGGACCAGCCACGCACTCGGATAGCAGCACTCGGATGGCAGCGCCGATGGCGTATCCACAACGGCACGCGGAACTCTTGCCGTCAAGCTACTATGCCGCCGATAGAGGCATCCGTACGGCACGTGGCTCCCCGTACGAGTACCATAGAACAGGAGATTGATACGACCCCTTTAGGGAAGTACAATCTCCTCCAGAGGGAAGCTACCGCTTCTGGCCCTGCAGATACTCCGTCGGATCCTC